CACTAATGTTTTTTTAAATGTGTTAAAATATAATTGCTAATTACTCAGGAGTGTATTTCTAAACAATTCAAAGAACCATTCATTCTGCAAATTTACAAACTATTTTTTTCTGTATAAAAGAAATACATTGTCCAAAAGAGCTTACTCTAAGGGCTTGTTCACACCAAGCGCAGAGCAGAGCAGGTGCAGACCGGATCAAAACTGCGTCCAATGTATTCCAATGGTATTTTTGGCTCCAGTTCACATCGTAGCGTGCAGTTGCAGAGCAGATCCAGAGCAGGTGAAAAAACTGCAGCAGGCCCTATTTTACCTGCTCTGGAACGCAACAAAAACGCATGCCAATGCCTGAAACACACTGAAAGCTCATTTTAAACTTTAAAACATTTTTTTTTTTTTTTTACCAAATAGAGCCCGGAACGCATCAACAACGCGTCAAAAAACGCATCTAAAAGACTAGTATGCGTGTGCAGAAACCTGACCGGATCTGCTCTGCATTTGGTGTGAACAAGGCCTAAGGCCTCATTCACACACAACGCAAGCAAAATTGTATATTGCGTCTATGCGCGTATATACGAGCGTCTATGCGCTTATATATGAGTGTATATGTGTGCCCTATATGCAATCCCAGAATGCATCACTCGTAATGGAATTTTTAATGTGATGTACGCGCGTATACACGCAGAAATACGCTGCCCGCACGCATTTCTATTCCATTCTGTTTTTGCGCATATATAGGCTACGCAAATATACGGCTCCATACGCGGCTGTGTGTATGGAGCCATTTATTTGCATATGGTACAATACGAAAAATCTAATCATGCAATATTTCACATTTACCTGCCTAAAAAGGTTTTTACATTTTTCTTTACGCCTAACAATAATAAAGAGATTGTGCAAACTACTAGACATTTCCTTTAAGTTGTCAGCTCTAGCCATATTCATCTTGGTTCTTCCATGGGCTTCCTACTCCTGAAAAGTGCTCTAATCTGCTGGTGTGACAGCTGCCTGACTTGTCTAGAGACTTTGTACAGGCCCCATCATGTGTGATTACCAGTAACGACCTATTCCCAATTAAAGAGGCAGTGACATGCTGCCTCTCCTCAAATTACAAATGCTTAGTTTCCGTTTTAAATACAACTACAATGCAAAGTGATGAGAAAGATCTGTAAGGAAAACAGCATTAAGACCATTGACACTGAGTTTATCCTTTAGGTAAGAACCATTGATAATGACTCCACAGTCACCAGTCAGGTTCATATTTTGTTCTTTTAGCGGTCTTTCTCCAGTACAGGCTGACATTTTATTGGTTACTTTTTGCAATAAATAAACTTGTCCTTTCATGATTGTTTAGGAATAAAGTATCCCTGGAAACCCCAAATCCCTAAATGTTCAGTTAGACCAGGGGTCTCAAACTCAATATAGTCGGTGGCCACTGGACACATTTTTTAGTCCCGTGGGGGCCGCTACTATATATACGGTACCAGTTTTAATGTATGCACATGTTACAAGCGGCAACTGTCACCCATTCAAGTTAATCAGGTGACAGCTGCTGCATGTAAACGCCTGCACACCGCATGTAATCATATGTGAAAGGATTACATGCAGTTAGGAATCAATCACTATCCCTGCACAAGTTTATTCAGGGATAGTGATTGTTTTTGTAACTGCATGTAATCATATCACATACGATTACATGCGGTATGGAGGCGTGTACATGCAGCGGCTGTCACCTGATCATTAACTTGAATGGGTGACAGTTGCTGCATGTAAACGCCTGATTAGGGATTCCTGCTGCAGGAAAACGCAAGTTTGTGACACAGAAATCCCTAATCGCACCTGAAATATAGGGGACCCCCCTCAATCCCTGGTAATCTAGTGGTGATTAGTAAGGTCTAGTGCAGATAGTACATTACTATTAATACTCATTCAGCCGGAGCTCAGAACTGACGGAGCTCCGTCCGGAACTGACAGGAGCAGCTCTGCTGTCTGCATCCGACAGAGATGTAGACCGTGTTGCTGCTCCCGCAAGTCGGCATGCGGTACGTGACTGTGTGCACGACTTGTCAGCTGACTGCAGGGCACCTAGTACCTGCTCGCAGGCCGGTACTTTGAGACCCCTGATTTAGACGCATATAAATTTCTGGTTGGAAAGTCGATCTCTGGCAGAGCCTTTTTTAGCTTGCACAGTTCATTGTTTTTCAGTGAGAAAGGCCGTTACATTGAGGAGTCAATAGAAGGAGTTAGAGGGGGTATGCCAGAGCTTATTTTTCCAAGCAGAAGTAACAGTTTGCAGTACTGAGAGCCCCACATATCAGGACTCCTGGATGGTACTAGATGATGAAGACATGTGCCAGTACCTTTTGTGTGTCTGCCTTTCACTGAAGCTAGCACTCTGGAAAGGATAGATTTACTTTAGGACAAATAACAAATAAAATGTCTGTTTTTAAAGGTTGTTTAAGTTGAACTGGGTTATGGAAGAAAGTTGAATCAATGATAGTTCTTGTGGAATGTCAAATTCTTTCTGTTGGCTGATGGATCGGAAAGAAACATTTTAGATGCTTCTCTAGTCCTTTTTTTATTATTATAAAGCAGAGACAAAATGTTTTGGAGAGACCTTGTGGTAGTGTGGCTTAAACAGTGGCCAGTAATCAACAGCAAAGGTCCCCAAATTCTGACTGCTTGTGATCCATGGTCACGATCCCCAGGAGAAATGGTGTTGAGCAGTTTTGATTCACGTAGAATATTGTTGCCCAAATTTACTCAAATGGGTTTTGCACTCCCATACAACTCTGTCAGAATGCAAAACTTGCTTGAAGGTCAGCTGTAGGTCTAAATGATCTTAGAAGCATCTCAAACTGATGTGATACTGAAGCCATCAACACAAGCCCTTCTCCCATCGACATAGGCTCTTATACTGGGCTGCCTTTGTTTAGTATTTTGCTTATATAAATATATAGTGTAGTGTTGCATCTGTTTTTAGATAATGAATTATCCCCTGCTAATATATATGTATGTATGTACATCATACATAAAATACGAACAGCAGGCAGCGCTCCCTCCTGCGCCCCCCTGCTTAGACGGACGGACGAGGGAGCGCTGTCATCAGGTCGGTGAACAGGAGAGAAGCCGCCCGAGGAGGCTTCATTTTCACTCGCCCCTACGCAAATTGCGAGGGGGCGAGTGGAAATTTTGAGCCGTGTGTGTGTATATATATATATATATCTGCTTGCGGACTGTCTGTGCAAATATAAAACATCTATGCAATGATTATTTACCTGTCTACAAAGATGAATGAAACAAACCATGTCCATAAAACACCTTTTTAAAGAGTTACAAGATCTCTCTAGTGCCTTGGTTCTCAACTGGTGGGTCGTGACCCCGTTTTCAGTGGGTCCCCACAAGCCTTCCACTTTTCTAAGTGAGAGACTCCTCAGCCTCCCCCTAGCGCAGCACTGCCAGTTCTCGTGCCAAGCAGCCATTCAAAATATGCTGCTCGACGCTGAGCATCAGCTTGAGGTGGGGTGGGGCTATGGCTGGGAGAGAACTCCAACCATGTGTGCATGGCTTGCAGCTCCCTCGCGTGTCCTGTAGAGGTGCCTGGACCGGAATGGCATCACATTCTGGCTCCCGGCGCCTCTGCGGGGGAGCTGTACAGGCAGTGCACATATGGATGGAGCTCCCCCACAGCACAGCACTGGACACCAGACTGAGGATCCACTCCAGTTCAGGTAGGGAGACTGGGTGGGCCGTAAAAAATAAATAAATGAAAACATTTTTGAAGTGTGTATGTGTTTGAGATTGTGTGTGTCTGTTGTTTTTGAGGGCCCGTTCACACTAGTACAGTGCGTTAATTGCATAGTACCGTGCAATCGCACCTACTGTGCATTCTGGCGTGGGAGGTGTGTTGTGTTACCATTCATTTGAAGGGTACCCCAAAAGCACCTGCCACCCACAGTTCGTACGTCCCCGCACCGGAATGCGTGGTACCCTAATGCCGAGCTTTCTATTGCAGTGCAACTTGGGTTGCAACTTAACGACCAAGGACAAATATGGGTCCTGAGGTCACACAGGTTGAGAACCACTGCTCTAGTGTCTATTTCTCTGTTTTGTCGCCACATCAGGAAGGGAGGTGTATCTTGCTATAGGGAAAGCACAAAGCTATAAAGCATTCCCTTTAGTGAAGTGTTAGAACCTCTGTTAAGTTTCTATTTGGGTCAGGTGTATATAATTGTTGAGGAAATTATTTTCTTGTATGATCTGGAAGTGAGGAGAAATCTCCCCAATGGGGGACACAGGTGGCAAAGAAAAAAAATAAACCTTAGAGGTTACCCTTCCTCATTTTATTCTAAACTAAGAAAACATGTATTGGTTAAAATGTATATTGTAAAATGTGTACCTACCTGCTCTACTCTGCCTTTTGCGACAGTCATTAATCAAATTTTATTTTATTTTTTTAGATCCCCAAATAATACCAGATATTAATACTTTTTTTGGGGGTCAGTTTTGGGCGTCTTTTTATTTTTGGTACATGAATGAAGGACTCTAATTGCTAGACAGAGGCTACTCAGACCATTTTAGTCATGGGGTCCTTTGTGCAAGTAGCAGAGAAATGTAGTAACTAAACATAACCAAACAGATTATCCTTTCTAACTGTTTAGTTAAGTAAAACATGTGAGAACTGATAGATTGGTGTGCGTGTTCTCTCGGACATGGTTTCTGTCTGTAGCAGAAGAAACCAGGTTAAAGGAGAACTATGGGGTTAAGGCTTTTCCCCATAGTTCTCAGGGTAATGGGAGGACACAAACTAGCGTCCTCCCGTCACCCTAGGCTCAGTATGCCGCGAGCTGCTGCTCGCGGTACACTGAGACGCCGCAGCTGAAGAAGTTCTCCTTTTAAGCAGGTTATCTAATACAGTCCATTCACGATCATATTCCTGGGCAATATATGGGGTCATTACAGTTCTGGTATCAAAATTAGTTTTTTTGTTTCTTTTGTTTTAGAATAAGGAGAAAATCACATCCTACAATCGAACTCCTAAGCTGGACAGGAATGAAGTTGGAAAAGAAATGAAAGAAAAATCCTCCATGAAAAGAAAGCTACCCTTCACAATCAGCCCGCCTAGAGAAGAAGAGAGAGACTCTGACACAGGTAGATGGCCCAGAATGATAACTATGTGAGCGTCATATAATCTCACCCTTGGTTTTAATTCATTGTATGTAGTTCAATTTGAGAAGAATTGAATTGTATTCATGTGATCTGGTTTGGTAGTAACACCAATGTAGATCAATTTACAGGCCTTGTAGTTTGTGATATAATAATCATCATGATGATGATAATAATATACTAATAACGACCATAAAGGCTCATTTAACAAACAATGAGCAGAACCGAATGCAGTACCCATAGCAACCAGTGAATATCTACCTACTACTGATATGATTTCACTAAGGGGGGTTTGTATTTTTCTTGCACTGTTCACTAAATAAGTCTGCTTGTTTATAGAAATTAGAGAAAGGTAATGGTAAAGATGTTCCATCTCAATTTCATCAATAAATATACCCCACCCACCTCTGGAGCATCCTTCTCCCCTCATTCATTTAGTTTTTATTTTAAAAACCTTAAAGGATATATAAACCATCCCGTTTTTTTGCATATATCTACTGCTAGCAAGCAGTAGATATATGCAAAAAGTTTTAAAAAAGCAAAAAACGCTCAAACAGCACCTCAAACTTACCCTGTTTTCCGTTCGAAAATGAGAAATTTCTCGAGCGGCCGCAAATGATCTTGGGGCGTGCGCAGTTCTCATTTTCGGCAGGGACGCGATGAGGGACGCAAGGTAAGTCTATAAACGCGTGCACCCGCATGCAGACACCGCTGGATTGGAGGGACAGAGCAGTCAGCACTGGATTGGAGGGACAGAGCCGCAGCACTGCTGGAGTGAAGGCTAAAAACATCAGGAAAGAAGAGGAAGATCGGAAAAAGAGACATAATTTAAGGTAAGGTTTAACATTAACATTTTGGGGAGATTGTTGTGCTCACCCGATCATTGTAGCCAGTTTGTTCTTAGACTGGTCCCTTGAGCCTCTCTTCCCCTCCTCTGCTGTAGTCTAAGAATCCTTGTGTCATCACATTCTATACAAGTGTATAGACGTGAGGACACTGAGGAACATTCCATATGTGCAGCGGAGTAGGCGACACACTTCAGTGACCGGAAAAGAGTGGGCTTGGCAGTTCGGGTGAGTATAACTTTTTTTTGCACCTAGATAAAAAAAAAGCTACCCGCATTGCAAGGGTTAAGAAAATGGATCCCCAGAGTTCTTCTTTAAGGAACCATCATTAATGCTATTTTTTTTTCTGTAGCCTTCAGTACCGTTTGCTGACATCCTCTTCCTCCTTATTTCATTGGTGGTGGTTGGGTCCTGAATTCTGCAGAGAACTCCATCACATAATGATATGGCGCCACTCTCTGCAGTATTTCCCTTTTAATCCAGGGTGGCTTGATTACATGCCTCTGGGGGTGAGTACTTGACACCCTGGTCTCACAGGAAGTGGGTTGAATGATGACAGATGCTGGATCATGACCAAAATAATTGAAAAATAATCTCACCCCTGCTAGACGCTGCAGGTGGAAGTCGAGGTGTTCTGTTTGTTTTACTACACAAATGTGTCCCTGACATGACAGTGCTGCAGTTATTGTGTTTGGTGGCCCCTCTCTTGGTGGCTTGTCACATTTTTATTGTTGTACAAAACAATATGTAGCCCTAGAGTCAGTATTTCTATAGATTCTTACAAGACATTTCACCTAGCACAGATTAGCCTGCTCTTTGTTCCCAGATTATTTTTCAGTTACATGTACAGGTACTGAGTTCTCTAATCCTAAAAAGGGGTAATAATTTGGGAGCAAATCAACGGATTATTACTGGGGTGAGCTGGGTCACAGTTGTAACTGCTCATTAGGCAAAAGCATTGTCTGTAGCTGTGATTTATAAGCTGTTTTCCTGTAACAGGGCTGACATGCTTCAAGCTGTTTTGGAAAAAGAAAATAACAGTTTGCTGTATGATAAAGGAAAATATTTTTTTGAGTTTATATCCCAAAGTTATGATAGATGTTATTTGCATTGAGTATTTTAGAAGCTTTACAAACATGAACTCTAAACATTTATAGATCCAGTAACACTGATCTAAGGCCGAGTGACGACCAGGAGCCGATGATTGCTGCACAGGGTTAAAGTGACACTAAACTCAGGAGTTCAATCTTAAAGATGCATTCAAGTACCATAACTATTAACAAAAATGTATCTTATTTGTCTATCACTCGGCTGTAGAGCCTCAAATCATCTCCGAATTGGTGCTGACACTGTTCTTCCTTCTGGAGGGGGGATACTTGGTCTATGGTCCCTGTGTGTGTGTGTGTTGTAAAGTAGATACTGCTCCAAGCTCGCTCCTTTGATAAACCACAGTCTTAGGCTGGGCACACACCTTACAACCATCGCAAGACTTTTGTCTTGCGATGGTTGTAAGGTAATTAAAAAAACTTACGATCTGCCTATCTTGGACAGGCAGATCGTACTTGCGATGATCGGGGCGGGATTCCGATGACCGCAATGCTGAACAGGCAGTGTGCGTTTGTGCACACCGGCCCGTCCGGCTTTTATCTTACGAACACGCTACACACCCGCCGAAAATCGTACGATTCTCGGTGGGTTTTCGAACATGTTCCTAAGATAAAAGTCATACGACCGTACAGTAGCAGAGGTCGCACGGCTCCCACACACCTTAAGATAATCGTACGATTATCGTAAGGTGTGTGGGCACCTTTTAGTACAAATTAGTAAACTTAAGGTGGCCATACACTGTACAACCATCGCAAGACCTTAGTCTTGCGATGGTTGTAAAGTACTTAAAAAAACGTACGATCTGCCCATCTTGGACAGGCAGATCGTACTTGTGATCATCGCAAGCCCGCCCCCTTGAGGGGCGGGCTTGCGATGACTGCAATGAGGGGCGGGCTTGCGAGGACGGGAAACGGGCAGTGTGCGCGTGCGCACACCGGCCCGTTCGTCAGTTGTCGAACCAGCAGGCCACTCACTCGCCAAGAATCGTACGATTCCCGGCGGGTTTTCTAGCCTGCTGGTTCGACGGAAGACGTGCGACCATACAGTAGAAACGGTCGCACGCCTTCCATACACTGCACGATTCTCGTACGATCGCGGGATCTCCCGCGATTCTCGTACGAGAATCGTGCAGTGTATGGGCACCTTTTAAACATGAGATTGTAGTCCATCGCGGGGGCGAGCTTGGAGCAGTGGCTACTTTACAACACACACAGGGTCCATGGGGAACAAAAGTAGCAGCTGAGTGATACAAAAATAAGATACATTTTTGTTTAAAGGTAAGGTAATTGTATGTATTTGTACGGTTTAACTCCTAAGTTTAGTTTCACTTGCATTTTGATAGATGTACCGTAGGTCTCATACTTTGGAATAGATGTTACATATAGTACTGTGTGAAGAAATGCTGTAACGTAATAATGCTTTCAGAAATAAGTGTTAGTTTATTTTTATCGATTAACGAAATGGAAAGTAAATGAACAGAAGGGAAATCCAAATCAATATTTGGTGTGACCACCCTTTGCCTTCAAAACAGCATCAATTCTTTTAGGTACACTTGCACACAGTTTTTGAAGAAACTCGCAGGTAGGTTGTTCCAAAGATCTTGGAGAACTAACCTCAGATCTTCTGTGTATGTAGGTTGTCTCAAATCCTTCTGTCTCCATGTAATCCCAGGCAGACTCGACAATGTTGAGATCAGGGCTCTGTGGGGGCCAAACCATCACTTCCAGGACTCCTTTACACTGAAGATTGTTCTTTATGACATTGGCTGTATGTTTGGGGTCGTTGTCCTCCGGCTTAAAAAATTAGGGGCCAATCACACGCCTCCCTGATGGTATGGCATGGGGGATAAGTATCTGCTTGTATTTCTCAACATTGAGGACACCATTGATCTTGACCAAATCTTCAACGCCAGAAATGCAGTTCCAGACTTGCAAGGAACCTCCACCATGCTTCACTGTTCCTCCAGGCACTCATTATTGTACTGCTCTTCAGCCCTTTGGTGAACAAACTGCTTCCTGGTACAGCCAGATTTTGACTCATCAGTCCAGAGCACCTGCTGCCATTTTTCTGCACCCCAGTTCCTATGTTTTCTTGTATAGTTGAGTCGCTTAGCCTTGTTTCCACATCTGAGGTATGATTTTTTTTTTTGGGCTGCAAGGACGCCGAAAAATGGTAGCCGTTGATAAAAAAAATCAACTAATAACGCTTTTATTACTGAAAGCATTCTTACTTTACAGCTTTTTTTCCCACCTAAAACCTTTGCACATTACTGTGTATTATGTGGATAGTTACACTTGTGGTGGTGTTTGTGCAGATAATTGAGGTTTGTTTAATGCTATAAGTAAATGGCCTAAACAAGTGACATCTGCGTGTTTTACTAAAATTAGACCCTGTCGGTTGACTAGAAGGGGATGTTTTAATTTCTAGTAATGTGCAGGTGTGGCCACCAACAGAATCTTCATATCCTCTTGAAACGTATTTGAATATGTAGCTGCTGAGGTTGAAATGACTGGTGTCATGTGCACTGTAGTCACTATAGGGAGATGAGTGTTTAAAAATAGCATATGCGAAGAGTTTACTTTGAAGAGACTATGTTCCGGGAGACTGGATGGCAAGCCACTTTTGTAGCATGTGTACATTATAGCAAGCACAACAACAGTGCAGGTGTAAGCATCACGGCTTGTGCTTGCTTAGATGTCTTTTTTTTTTTTTTCTTTTGTTCGCATTTCTGCACACTTCATGTTCCAGCATAGACTAACATACAGACATTGTTTCCATGACTTATTTCACAGAAGATTAATAAAACAAAAAACAGACTTGAATGCTAGACTACTTTTCAGGGCAAACAGGGAAGATCTCATTTTATGTATCTAGCAAAAACCTGATTGTGTCCTAGCATTATTCTATTATTCATCATCCTATTATTATTATTATACAGGATTTATATAGCGCCAACAGTTTGCGCAGCACTTTATAATATAGGGAAGACATTACAATCACAATACAAATCAAGACAAGATGGTAAGGAGGGCCCTGCCCCTGAGGGCTTACGATTAAAGTAACAGAAAAAAAGTATAAAGCCGTTACCTAAGCCTCCAGCATGTAATTTTAGTAACTGCACGTGTGCAGAATTTGACAAATTCAGGAAAAAAAATTTACGGACCTCCTTCCCATGCAAATGTTTTCTACCTTTTTGTCTGCTTTAGGTGCATAAAGGATTTACTGATAACATAATTGGGTGAAAACTTGAATCCTTCTCACTGTACACCCTTCCTCCTCCCTATACATGACTTATCATGTAAATGCACTATTATTTAGGGAGCACCACATTTTCCTGGGCAATCTTATTGCCACAGGGTGTGTACATGTTATCAAGTGGTTTGCGAAGGCTGATCTAACGGAATAAAATGCATCCATTCTGTTAATGTTAGTAGATTATCCAGTATTGGAAAAAACATTACAAGCAAAGGGAAGCTGTCACCTCTTGTGTTATCAATGTATAATAACATCAAGTTCTTTTATGGTTAGAAGTGTCGTACAGAAAAGGGTGCTGCGTTTTAATGACCCACATAATAGAATTCTGCGCGTTTTGGGAGAAATCAAGTACAGCTTAGTATGCTGAAATTGTGTGTGTATAAGCAGGTACCTTGCCTTTCTTTAGCAAGCTGTCATATGGAATGTAGTACAGCCAGCACTGTGCCACTGCACTCCTCGGGAACTAAAGCAGGACTTGATGTTTCAGTAAATGTGGAAATAAAGCTATCACTATTAACACTTGCAGAATTAGGATGTTTTTAAGCCTCTCCTTAGTTTAATATATATTCCAGACTTTGACCACTTCTATGTTCCCACCTCTTTTGTAGCCTGAGTGTAAGGGCTCTCCCACCACATAAAAAAAGGTCAGTCCACCTAATTGGAATATTCTAGGTTGGACTAGGTCATCTCATAGCTTCTGAAATGTAGCGAATGTTCCAAGAGCAATATCTCCCTGCCCAACTCTCTTCCCTTTTCCACCTTGGAGTTGTGGGTGTTTACATGTTCCAGCACCTCCGGTAGCATTTGACAAATAGATATATCCACCAAGGAGGACAGGAACCCACCAAAATGGCCACAGCATACTTGCAGTCCCAGGAACAAAAGCACAGGGTACAGAGATTCCTCCAATCAATTCCTCAATAAACCACCTGAACATTTCTATCATCTAACAAAATCTGAAATATCAGTCTTAGGTGGGCTGGCTCTTTAGTGTCATTTTTTCAGTTTTTCAGACACACAATTGGGAAACTGAAGTTTCTAGACAGATTGTGACCCCTGCACATAACAGCAAAACTTGTATCTAAACCTCTGTTTTTAACCTTAGCGGTGAGACAAGTTTTTTTTTTGCATGCTGACTGGTGAGTGTGCTGGGAAGCTTTTGCTGCACAGTGTTGCTGTTGTACTGTATAAATCCCTTCCATGAGCTGGTTACAGATTGATGAGTGCATTTGCCATTTGTTTCCCTGCACATAACACACACACACACACACACACACACACAAAGCTTACCCAGTAAGCTAGTGCACAGACCAGCGTGGAAGAGAAAAATGCACTGACCTAGATCAACCAATCAAACTCAAGTTTTTTATCACTGGTAGATCAATACAGATTGGTCGCTTTGGGTTACTTGTCTTTCCACTTAGCTTTTTGACTAAAGATTGAGAGGAAAATTCCATGGAGGACATGTTTCCTTGCAAAGGTAGCCATTGCCTTCTCTTTTATGCTTTTGCTATCAAACTGTCCTCTACTTTACTTGTTTCCTTCTTCCCTTCTTTCCTGTGCCTTTTTTAATCCTGTAGATTCTGAAGCAGGACACACAAGTGAAAACTGGGGTGAACGATTAACGTCCTCTTACAGCACATCTGCAGGTAAAATTAACTGTACATCTATTACATGGCACATTTTTCCTTTTGGCGATGAAATCACTTTTCATCAGTTTCTAGGCAGGTCCTACCGGTATGTGTCTGTTTTGAAGAGTGATTTGGGCAATTGTTGGCTATGGTTAAGATGGCTGAAAGATCGTTTAGACTGGTTTTGTTATACTGCTGTTGGCCTTATTTGTATTGCAAGATAACCCTAAAATAGTAGATATGAAGAACACGGTTTCCAGTTAAAGTTGAATTAATTCTTATGTCCTTGTAGCCTTTTATTTTACAATGTTGCCGAAAGCCCAATTGAATACTGTAATGCAGCCAGGCTGTATAAACATTAATAATGGAGGACTTCTTTTTTTAGTTTTAATGTCCTATTTTTTTGCAGCAATGAGTACATTATTCTTTGCTAGCAGCATGCTAGAGACTTGGACCGCCGCATAACACAGAAAGCAGCGGTTCAGGTCTCCAGCACTCTATGATCCCTACCCAGTGCTCCAATAAACAGAGGTATTCAGAGAGCTGTTCACAGTGTCACAGGGAGCATTGCTGGCGTAACGATGTCAGCTGTTTTTTCCGCATCATTGTATTGTGAGTGTATGGTGCCATCAGGGTCATGATGCTGCTGGGGTCATTCGCCACGGAAGAGGAGCTGCATTTGACCATTAATTGGTAAGACTTTGTGGGACAGCTCTGGAGAAGAGGTGAGTATTGCAGCCAGAGCTGCATTTTTATTTATGGAACAATTGGGCATCTCGGCATCTCTTTAGCTGTGTATGCTTCTAGAAAGCTTGTGCACAGTTTACTGGCAAAAATCATAGGGAATGTTCCATGAAGAATGCTGCTTTCTGCTGTTCCTTTCATCTATTTATATACAGTGACTTGCAAAAGTGTTCATTGCATTTTTCCTATTTTGTTGCATTACCACCTGGAATTAAAATAGCTTTCTATTTGGATTACCTGTAATGGACATACACAAAGCAGTGCAACATGGTCAAGTGCAATCAAGAAAATAACTTTTTTTTAAAATAAAAACTGGAAAAATGGTGCGTGCATATGTATTCACCCCCTTTGCTATGAAGCTCCTACATAAAATCTGGTGCAACCAATTACCTTCAGGAGTCGCATATTTAGTTAAATTAAGACCACCTGTGTACAATCTAAGTGTCACATTATCTCAACTCCAAACAGGTCAGGGAAAAAGTTGTGGAGAAGTACAGATCATGGTTGGGTTATAAATAAAATATTCAAAACTTTGTTTATCCCATGTAGCACCATTAAATCCATTATTAAAAAATGGAAAGAATATGGCACCACAACAAACCTGCCAAGAGAGGACTGCCCACCAAAACTCAGACCAGGCAAGGGGTGCATTATTCAGAGAGGCAACAAAGAGACCAACGATAACCCAGAGGGAGCTGCAAAGCTCCACAGTGGATACTGGAGTATCTGTCCATAGGATCACTTTAGGCCGTACACGCCACAGAGCTGGCCTTCATAGAAGAGTGGCTAGAAAAAAAAGCCATTGCTTACAGAAAAAAAGCAAACATGTTTTCTGTTTGCCAAAAGGCATGTGGGAACTTCACCAAACATATGGAAGAAGGTACTCTGGTAAGATGAGACTGAAATCTCCCAAGATCTCTCATCACACTGAGAACACCATCCTCACAGTGATGCATTGTGGTGGCAGCATCATGCTGTGGGGATGTTTTTTATCGGCAGGGACTGGCAAACTGGTCAGAATTGAAAGGATGGATGGCGCTAAATACAGGGAAATTCATGAGGGAAACCTGTTTCCGTGTGCCAGAGATTTGAGACTGGGACAGAGGTTCACCTATGGGCTTGGAATGGCCTAGTTAAAGCCCATATTAAATTGCTCTGGTCTGTTTTGAAACTCTGACAATCTGAGCAGCATCACTAGGCCTGTGGGGCAGCAGCCAGCAGGTGTTGCTCTGTGTAGTAGCTGAGGTTGGGAAATGTGCATTCCTCTGCACTTGTCCTCAAACACCAAGATCTTGCATAGATATCAGTATTTCATCATGTCTGCATTTCAATATTTAGTGTTAATGTTTAGTTTATTTGCTGGTGATATTGTCATTTGTAGGGTTTGCTTTTTACTGATGTGCTTCTTTCTATTAACATTTTGTCCTATATAGTAGGGATGCACCGATACCACTTTTTTAAGGCCGAGTACCAATACTTTTTTCCAAGTACTCACCGATACCAATTACCGATACTTTTTCTTAAAGGGACAGGTCAAATTTTTTAGTATTGTAAATTTCCCCTCAATGCTTTAGTGGTTGCCTAACACATTCAGCTAAGTCAGCATCGTAGCTGTAAGTATACAGGAAAAATGTAATACATATCAAGCCGTCTAATGTATAGTTCCGTTCCATATTCAAAACTCTGACCATACATTTGCAGTGAGGTGAATAGTAAAGAGTAATCACATGCTGTTCTACTAAAAAGAAAGCACAGCAAATGTTGAAAGAGGAAAAAATTGTCTTCTCCACATTTTCATACATAATTACTATAAACTGTTTCTTCCTATTGCTGACTTTCCATGCCTTGTTCTGCACTGTGTCTCTTTGTGAAGGTGGCCATCTTGGTAGAGGCAGGCCTTTGCTTCCTCATGTCAGAGCTGTCTCTTGATGACAGCTAACCTCCAGGTGACCTGTCTCCAGGTGACCTAGTGGGGGAATAGTTCAGAAGCCGCAAGAGGGGTGGAGGAAGCATAGATTTACAGAATAGCTGAAGAAGAAGAGAGATTTCTTGTTCTGCAGGCCATCCGGTACAGCTTTCCATCCAGCAAGTCAGGAGAAGCACAGTGCCTTAGATTTACACTGCAGATATACAGCTCTGAGACTGTAGGCAAAGGAAGTACACTGCTATTTTTCAGGAGATATTCAAAAGTGGTGAAACTTTTGGGGTACTTCTTTGGCAAAGTTCCTAATTATAGAGGTTTCCTATATATAAGATCGAAATCTTCATTTATCAGTGCAGGTTCACGATACGTAGTGGAGTATAGAGAGATGATGTTTCCAGAAAGACTGCTTAAAATGTGACTTGATCTTCTTAAGTCTGATTTTCACAGCCGTTCTTTAGTTATTGCTAAAGAAATGTGACATGGGAATAGAGCAACAAAGGGCTTACAACCTCTAGGTACAGTTACTGTTCCATTTTGTAGCAAAATGCATGCTTTGCACTAAAAAAGCATCTCAAGCCAAAAGTTGTGTTTTTTTTCTTGTTTTTTTTTCCATAGAGTATGAAAATGTAAGAACCTCTGTCTCGTATTTATTGCTGTTTGTGTCCACACTGGAGAAAATCACCCCCCTCCTGTCTTGGTGACCTTTGCTATGGGAGAGAAAGTGATGGAAAATCCAAACATCTATGTTTGCCGCAGGAACACAGTAGGAAGTGGGGGGAAATCTTCCAATGTGTACCCATGTTCTGGTGAAAGCTGACTAAGAGGGGGATTTCTACCCATTTCCTATTGTGGTTGGGGAATTCTCCCCTATGGGACACAGAGAGCAAAGAAGATGCCCATGACTCACTGTTAACTTTAAATTGATGAACAGTAAAAGCTTTTAAAGAGTCGCGTACGGGCAGTTTTTTTTTATTTTTATTTGTGCCATTTCACAGGTGCATGCAATTTAATGCTCTGTTCACACCTAGGCGTATCGAATATGGGCGTTTGTCGCGTGTTTCGTGACGTGCGTTTTTACAGCGATTCGCTGTAAAAAAAACGCGTGATAAACATGCGTTTCCGAGGGCTACTTGGCTGTATCCCAATGGAAACGTGCGACAAAAACGCTGCAAAGAAGCTCATGTACCCTTTCAGGCGTAGGGCGTTTTGTAGCACGTTCAGACGGGCTGAAATACGGCAAGGTGAGAACCATACCCATAGAAAACAATGGGATTTTCATGTTTGAGCGTTTTGAACGCACTACAAAACGTACAGGTGTGAACCAGGCCTTAGGGTTTGACATGTTTGGTATCTATTTACCTCACACAACCCCATCTTTTATATTGTGTTTTGGGGCACTAAACTTAATTTTGGTGCATTTGTTCCTAAAAATATCGATTTTCATAAACATTTGTGCAAAATTGCAACTAGCATTTTCTTATTTTACAAGGCCTCTGCTTTCAGGTTCGGGTTTTAGGCAGTTTTCTTGACAAAAATTCAGACTCGTGTGTGAGAATGGGGAAAAAAATTGCTCTGGTAGTCAAGTGGGTAATGAACACATAACTAGATTTAACTGCCTCCGGGCCGGCCGTAGTCTCTAGACGTCCGCTCAGACACGCCCCCTTGCACGCGCCGCCAATAACCCATACATACACGCACGCAAACATGCGTCTGGGGTGTATACATGAAAAAACGACGATTGTGCCCATTACGCCGCACATGTTGCATATCGATTGTGAGCGCCACAGTGAGAGAAATAATTCTAGGGCCATCAATCACTGATAACACTAAACTGATGAGCGGTAAACGCTTTTAAAGCGTCGCCTATGGACAATTTTGGGTATGGTAGTTTTCTGCGACTTCGCGGGTGCGAGCAATTTTAAAGCTTGCCATGTTTGGTGTCTATTTACCCGACGTGACCCCGTCTTTTATATTTTACCAAAAAACTTCAGTAATTTTTCCTAATTATAGTAAAATATAAAAACCACAGTGGTGATTAAATACCACCAAAATAAAGCTCTATCTGTCCCCAAAAAATGGTTTAAAATGAATTTCAGTACAGCGTTGCATGACGGAATAAATGTCCAAGTACTGCAGCGCTGAATACTGAAAAATGGCCTGGACAGGACGGGGGTCTAAACACCTGGTCTGGTTAAAGAACTAGGTGTGCCCCCCCCCCCTGTAAATTACACACAGACCCTCTGTCTTGCAGTTGTTTTCCTTCCTGTAGATTCCACTATTGCACTATAGTAGACTGTTAAAGGAAACCTGACATACTGGAGCTGTCGTTGACCTTTACATCATAATTATCTTTCTATTATGCTGACTTTCTGGTGTTGCTGTTTCCAGTCAGTGACCCAAAACAAGTATATTCATCGGGAGTACTGATTTTACTTCACACTGTGCCAGAAGGATCACATCCACAATTGTATTGAAAAACCTGCTTTAGGCCCCATTCCTTTTAGTATCCGGTTTTCAACGGATGCCAATGCAAGAACAACTGAAAATGAATGAGAGCAATTCACACCGGTCTGTTGCATTGCGTTGTGCTGCCCCCCGCTGAAATAAAAGTAGAGCAGGCTCTATATTTTTTTTTTTAACGCAATGCGTTGGACTGATGTGAACTGCTAGCACGTGTCAATGGGAGGTAGAACCAATATCTTATATAGCTTAGTGTAAAAATTGTATAAAAAAGAAAAACCAAACAGCAATGGATTGCAATCGCAAGCAAACAGACTTGTTTTTGGCTCTGATTTTGATGTAAATAAAGCCTTACAAATGCATTCAAGTACCTTAAAGGTGAACTATGAGGTGAGTGATTTCCACTCATCCTCATAGTTAGAGCTGACATGTGACAAAGAAGCTTTCACAGGTCGGCTTTATTGATTGGGAAGTGAGCGAACACATAACGTCGCTCGCTCACTTTCCGATCGTCTCCCTGCAGTGAGCGCTGATTGTCGGTTACCGCTCTCCACAGAGATTCCTCCCCTCTCCTCCAGCGCTGACTGGAGGAACGGACGAGGGAGGGGCGGGCACAGATGGCTCTGCCTCTAGATAGGCTGAGCCTGCTGTCACTCTTGCAGCTGGGTGGATCTCAACAGTATTGTCAGGATCCGTCCTGGCTGCGGCACTCGGTGCCCGCGATATATTGAGCTTTGGGTCATGGGAGGAGGTTGGTATATGTCCTCCTGCGACACTAAAGAGAATTATGGGGAAAAACTCTTACCCCATAGTTCTCTTTTATCTATTAACTAAAATGTATCTTATTTGTGTATGACTTAGCTGTAGAGCCTCAAATCATCTTTAAATTTGTGCTGACACTGTCCTTCCTTCTGAAGGGTGGCTACTTTTGTTCCCCATGGTCCCTGTGTGTCTTATAAAGTAGCCACCACTCCAAGTTGGCTCTTGTGATGGACTACAATCTTACATTTAGTAAACAAATATGTATTGATATTGTAGTCCAACATGGCATTGAGCTTCAGAAGGAAAGCTGAAGGTACAATCGCATGTCAACAGACCCTCAATTGACCTGCAAGAACCTTCCGATTTTGGGGTGAATGCACGCTAAATTGATCTTTTATTGAAATATTTGTTGAGCTTTAACATCAAATATATACATGGTCCTCTTTAACTTCACCACAACTGCTTAAAGCAGAACCTAAAACTACCTATCTGCTCAGTTGTATCCCTGATCTCTAGATCTGTAGATGGGGATATTATTGATAGTGGCTTACATGTTGGGCTTTTATAGTTAAAAATGACTAGTAGATGAAGCTGTCTGTAATTTGTTGATGTTGAGTGCTTTTGTTTGTTCTTGAACCCCTGAGACTGAACAAGACAAATCCTGGAGTGAATGGCCACCCTAAATGGCAACCTTTTGTCAATGTGTAAATGCTTATCAGGTACTTTGTAATGTGTATCATTTGGTTACTGTGAGATGTGAAGGTCATAAACACTGGAATATGTGGCCTTGAGGGTGCTTGTTGTCATTCTCTACATAAAGGACATTCGTGTATCTCTGAACGGTGTCTGTACTCGGATCAGAAGAGCAGATCTATTTTCTTTGTTTTTTTGTGACATAGGATTACCTCTCCTTAGATAACTGCTACATATATATTATAGGACAGCTCGGGGGAGATTTTACATTTTGTTTTTCCCTCTCTATAAGATGCATTGAACAGATTTCTGTGTGATGAGTGTTATAGGGCTGATTTTTTTTTTTTTTACTTATTGTACTGTATAATGGATTTAGCGCACTTTTGCTCCTGTAATTGCATGATAACATTCCTTAATTCATCAACAGCATTGTGGTACATTTCCTATGGACCCTCATTGAGTGTACACACAGCAAAAAACATGCCTGGCCCTTTTTTTTTCTTCCAATGATCCATAGCACAGCGCATGTCTTTTTAGATATACGTGGTGTGGTGTGGTGTGGTGTGGTGTGGTGCGTTGAGAGTCTGCTATACTGTTTACTTCATGGATATGCATTGGGGTCCAGTTAAATTGAATGGAAGCACCCCAAAACACATGCACAACAGTGTGCAGAGACATAAAGACATCATTGCGGTCAAATCTCTGTTTCTCTGACAAGCGATGCTGACTGTTGTGTTGCCAATAGGGGGCTGGGCAACATTTTCCAGCTTACATTCTCACTCAACAGGGATCATTTTAAATGAAACTGATACTAGATGACCATTACCCAAGGAGAATACTGCAGACGAGAGGTTTCCATAGCAACACAGGTCAGCTGATGCTACACATTCATTATAGATTAAAGCTTTGTGTGTCTGACTGTGAAAACTATACTGCGACAATACTTTGTTTTTTTACGTTGATCATGTGGTGGTGGTGGTGCTGCTGTTTTTAATTAGTATTGTTTTTTTGGTTTAAGCCTTCACGTGTTTGCAATTGACAAGTGTTTTAACACACGTGAAAGGACCTACAGGCATTCATGAAAGTTTATTGGTTTTATGACTGCTTGTATAACTGTACAGATCTTATTCATATTGTTGAGCTTTCCTTTTTACGTATTGTACTTTCCACAATTACAGAGAAAGAAGGGCCAGAGAAAAAGAAAGTAAAGAAAGAGTCTGGAAACAAGAAATCTACTCCGGTTAACATCCTCTTCGGTTACCCGTTATCTGAACGCAAACAGATGGCACTTCTAATGCAAATGACTGCCAGGGACAACAGCCCAGGTACCTAATTTATTACTGCCTTAATAAGGGAAGCAGATTGTTATGGTACAAATTCGACCCATAACACACAGAATGTTCCATTTGTGTATGATAGAAATGGTATGTCTTCCATCTGCAGTCTAACATTCAGATGCTGATATGAGTTATAGCTGCTACTTTGTGAACATGCTCTTATTACATAAACCAGGCAGTAAAACTATCATATGCAAAACGGTAATTGGAAAGGGATTCTTCCAGTTAGTAGATATGAAAGTGGACAAGGACACACACTTTAAAGCCCATCTCTGGCTGAACCCCATAACGACCCTTGCAGTGGAGCTACCCCAACACTTCTAGGGTTAAGTGCATGTTTATGCCTAGGGGACAGTGAAAAGCTGTTTTGCTTACTTGATCCCAGCTCTCTCCAGGCCACTACACCAGTCTCCACAGTCGCTTCACCCCAGCAATCTAAGGACCACTAATGTCATCAATGCAATGCATGTTCCATAGACCTGCATCAGATTTGCGTACGTTGAGGGACCTTTCACCAGCCAGAGTGGAGGGGAGAGAGGTGTGCTGACTGCCAGCAGAAGAAGGGATCTGGTAACTAAAAGTGCTTCACTCCTGGCCCCTAGGCAAAAATGTGCCGTTCACCCTTGCAGTGTGGGGGTAGCACCACTGGAAGGGTAGTTTTTTAGTTTGCCTAGAGGTAGGCTTTAAATCAAAAAGGGGGGAGGAGGGGGGGGAAAGACCCAAGTGTCCAGTAAGTTCTGGATCAATCGTAGCCCAGAAGTGAGGGTAGTTATTTTACTAAACATAGCGGATCTAGTCGCTGATTCTGTTGTAAATTACTTCAGGTCAACTTCTAAAGTATATCTAAACTCATAAATAAAACTGTGATCTATAGCAGCTTACCCGTCCCTAGATTGTTAGCTGCATTAGTTTTCTTTTTTCAGGCTTCCCTTATTTTAAACTGTTGATCCTGCCAGTAACACAATTCCTGTCCTAGGATGATGATGCTTACTCACTGTACTGCATGTATGGAGAAGTAGCACTTGTCAGCCTAGGATGCTCTTCTGATATAGAGTAAAAACACCTCCCCCTTACTTTATCTCTGTTACATAGACTGAAGTAGTTTTGTAGTTCACAAAAGGCAGCTAGTAAGACTGATGACATTGATTATGATTTTAGTTACGTGCACAGGTAATTACAGGGACACAATATTTCTGGCAGGATAAACAGATATGAGTTTTGCAAGCGCAGAAAAATATGTAGCCTAAGGAAAACTAATACAGTCACCAGATCTTGTTCAAGAGTTTAGATAACCAGGAATGTTGGGTAATAGAAAAGTGTGTCCCAAGGTAGACCACCCTCCTCTCTTCACCTCTGTTTACATCCCTGCCCTTTGTTATTTTTTTCTTTTTATATCTGTAGTCCTTAAGTGCTTGCAGACAATGTTATTTATCTAGTATTTGAAGCAGTATATGCAGATATGTCTCGGACAACTCAGCCCTCATTTCCCATTTGCTGATGTTGGCTATGCCTCACCTCCTGCTTTTGTGGATCCAATAGTCTCTATGATAGCTAAATGATATGTGCAGGTTCACTGCAGGCAGTGATTGACCATCTGCTCCCACCGCCCTTTTGCTCTAAGAAAAGGCCTATGATGGCTGTTGTCACTGCCTGGGGAGCCACTTTCCTAAACTTTAACCCTTTCGCTGTCGCCGACGTATGGCTTACGGCAGAACACAACTGCTTCCAGCTGGCCACATCAGTATGCCTTTTACGTAGGTGGTTTTTCCTGTTCTGCTATAAGCTCGACCATGAACTTATGCCAGGACAGTTCCCCTGACTTCCCCCTATAAAATAATAGCTGTCATCAGAGGCTAAAAGCCGTTTTGCAAAAAGGCACAATTTAAAATTGACAAATTATTATTTATTAACTCAATAGTTTTATCCTTTAGATTTAGTCGGAAACGTTTTTTTTATTTTTGTGCACTGATACTGATTTCAGTGTGCTTTTATCAATGTAATTGTGAATTTTATCCATTTAATAACTTTTACAAATCTGGCAAAGCAGCAGTAGAAAATCAAAACAATGGGGAACAATTGCAAAAATGGTGCGGCCAACTCAGGTTAAAGCGTTCTGGAGGGCTTGGCAGCGAAACGGTCAAAGTGTATTTCCACTTTTGCAGCCAAATTGGGGTAACACCTATTTATTATTCTCATTTAAATAGCATAACCTAAAACAAAATTGACACCATAATAATACTACTTTTCTTTAAACTGAGTATCCTCTGTAATGCTAGGGTGCTGGGCAGGTTGCCATAATTAACCCTGTCTGTACTGTTAGCAGATCACCTGGTTAGTTCTAAACTAGGTTTGAACACTGTCCATGTCCATCTCAACAAGGGTTAAAGATATAGAAGCATTGTATGTTAATGAGAGGCAGCTCCGAGTGTCTTCAGGCTTTCTATGGGGACAGCCATTTCCTGTTGCTTTGAAATTATTATAGAGAGAAACTTGCAGTCTGCCCAAAGCCCGCGCAGAGACATCTTCAAGGTAATACATTTTTTTAGATATTTTTTAGCTATGCTGTCTGAATGGGAACACATAACAAACCTATAGTGTGGTTTTTGTTTTTTTAAATGGCAAAAGTGGAAATAGACTTTTAGGCCCCTTTTCACATGATCGGTCTGATCGGGTCCACCTGTCAGTTTTTCAGCCGGACCTGATCGGACGTTCTATGCAAGTCTTTGGGCAGCCGTGTGTAAACGGACGAGCAGTTAGCCCCAGCTCCGGCTAAGTCCAATAAAACAGAAGTACTATTGATCCGTTTCAACGGATCGGATCGTACCAGACCGGTGGTAATCTCATGTAAATGGACACATGTCCGTTTACATCAGATTCCCCATAGACACACATGGGGTCTGGCAGGAAAAAAACTGAACGGACACTGATGTCAGATCGCTGACTTCTGATCTATACTACTGTGATCTGGAGAGGATACGTTGATGGATCCCCTCCTGACACGCTCCTATGATCGAGACTTCTCGATCTGTACCAGCTGTCAAACAGCAACAGCAAGTACGGTAAATACAGCACTGCTATCATTGTGGGATACACCCAATTTCTAAAAGGGATCGGGTGTCTGAAAAAGCTTAAAACTTTATTGGATGTCTCAATACTGAGACATCCATTAATGAACATAACTGCTGATTCTCAGCGGTTATCAGCATTACAGAAACCCGAATAGCTGATCATGTACAGTGTACGTGATAAGTCATTTGGCCACTTAGTGGCAGTGACGCACAGTGTATGTCTCCCGCCTGAAGGGGTTAAAGTGAATATATAGTAGTTTTGTTTACATTTTCTTCTATTATGATCAGGACAACAAAAAAAGTTATAAAAATGTTTTCTTTTGTGCATTAGTATTTTGTAAGTTCATATCCAGCCAGCAGGTGTTACACTTGACTAATTTTCTACTTTTTCCCTGGCTCATTATCTCCTCTTTTGAAAGACACTTAGTAATAAAATAAAACTTACAGACATATGTAACTCCACCACCCACCCTTAACGTCCCCTCCCTTTAGAAAGCTCTGCATGGAAGATTCAATTACAGAAAGGAAGTCTGAAAGGAAACAGCTTCTGCTCTGCTCTTTCTTTAGACAACTCTTAATGCCCTGGGAATTGTGCATCCGGTATTAAATGGTAATTTGTAAACAATTTTTATATAGTTTAAAAATGGCCTAAACTGTCATTTTAAAAATATATAACATAATATACCTTAAAAATAACATTGACTTCAAACCATTATAGTTTTCCTTTATATGGAAGTTTAATTAAATATTATTTCTAATTATTTGCACAAAATCTTTAAAACTAAACATTTATTATACGGTGCATCCAAAGCTTGCCTTCACAGAGCATAGAGCCAGCATTGAGTTCTCCACCTGCTGGCTGCAAAAGATCAATCTGAAGTATTCCTATGCAATATTTCTTATTTACCTATAAAAAAAAAAGAATATACATCAAATATAGTGTGTGTGTGTGTGTGTGTGTGTGTGTGTGTGTGTGTGTGTGTGTCACATCTATCTATGTCAGAAAAGGGCCTGCTTCAGTAAGGCAGTGCCAGACAAGTGATTTTGCATGCCTTGGTTTCCTTAATTGAAATCTGGGGTGTGAAAATCGATTGCTCAACTCAAAGTCTCTGTATCCGCTCAGTTAGGAAATCATTTAGGAACTGTCTGCTTTCTGCTAGAAGTTTTGGGGGAAAATAATACTGTTGGCTATAAAGTAGACCGCTTTGTAGTGGGAAGAATTAAATAGATATAACTGTTGGGTTTTGTAGTAGCAAAATAGTTTGAAGTATATATTTTTTTCCCTGTTAACATGTACAGTAGCGGTCTTGCTCTGTGTGAACAGACGGACAGGGACCTTTTATAAATGACACCAGTCTCTGGTGAGAATAATTTATTTAATCCTTAGCCCCTGAGGATAGCTAAGATGTAGCTATCCTCCATGTCTTAAATACGGCGTTTTACTTGGAACATAGTTGCCAAACGAGCAGCAGTTCTCTGCTGCTTTAGAGAAGACTTTTTTTTTTCTATTTTTACCTGTCAGTTGCTTTTATTAGAATTGCTTCCATATGTTTTCTTATCCACAGATTCTACTCCAAATCATCCTTCACAAGCAACACCAACTCAGAAGAAAACCCCCACATCTTCCACAAGGCAAAAGGACAAGGTTAATAAGAGAAATGAACGCGGAGAAACTCCGCTACATATGGCGGCGATACGAGGAGACCTCAGTCAAGTCAAAGAGCTTATTCGTCTTGGTGCAAATGTTAATGTTAAAGATTTTGCAGGTAATCATGAAGAATTGCTAATAAAAAATAATATTCTTGATGTGAAATATGGTCCTTTTTGTTTTAGAGACCTTTGTTGCAACCCAACCCATCCTCCCATTGCTGCAGTAGGTCAGCAAAATGCGTGATTCATTCCACAACATATTTGTTGATGGAAATTGTACTGCTCTTCATCCTGGAGAATAATAGAGCTCCTACATGAGCTATTGTATTTGATTAGGTAGGTTTAGTCCATTGAAACAGTGCTAACAACAATGGTTTGAGGATACCTCCATGAGTGAAGAAATTAATTGTGTACTTTCTTGTATCAAGGTTTAAGACCCCCATTCACACTGAGCTACATAAAAAAAAAACGCTTTTTCAGCGCTGATTTGAGCTGAACGACATTGAGCTACAGTGCACATTGTGTCATGCTACGTAGCGCTTCTTTTAGCAGTCTTTCAAAGCCTATTGAGACCAAATCACACAAAACGCGCTGGAAAAATAGGTCATGTTCGAGCGACAAGCTTGAGCTACAATCTACAGGCGACATTGAGCTGTGAGATGTGAACATCTCCATTGAAATGCATTAGACAAGCTACATTGAGCGATTTTTTTTGAGCGGAAATGGCACTACAAATCGCTCAATGTGAATGGGGTCTTAGGCTAGGTTCACACCTAGGCGACTCCTGACAGCACAACAATCCGGCGGTCAGGAGTCGCCAAGGTGTGAACCAATCGCGCTGTGGGTGCCATTATTTTCTAATGGCATTCCAGTCGCGCCGGGCCGATCGCGCTGAAAAAGCTGCGCGTTGTGTGTCACAAAAAAGGTACTTGTCACCCCATTGAAATCAATGGGGCCGCGCGGCAATTGCTGTGTGCACTAGGACAGAGGACGCAGTCCTTTTTTTTTCTTTTAACCCCTTCATGACAGGCCTTTTTTCCATTTTTTGCACCCATGTTATATTCCACATTTTAGGCCTGAAAATTACTTAAAACCCCCAAACATTATATATTTTCTGAATGCCAAGACCCTATAGAATAAAATGGTGGTAGTTGCAAATTTTTATGTTGCGCAATATTAGCGCAGCTCCTTATTAAACACCTACATTTAGTGAAAAATGTAATTAAATGCCCCAAAACGTAACAAAATACCCATTTTTTTTTTATGAAATATAAAAGATGAGGTTACAACGAGTAAAACGATACCCAACATGCCCAGGTTACAAATTGCGTGCGTCCGTGAAACGGCGACTTTAATTGGTTCATGGTTCAAGTGTAACTGTTGTATACGGTTATTGTAAAGGGATGTTTATTGCTCATTGCTGATTCAAAAACTGCTTAGCATTAGAGATTAGTGTCCGGCATTTCCCAAAACAATGCCACTTGACCATTTTGTTCTTCAAATTGCTTTGCAGGTTGGACCCCTCTGCATGAGGCTTGCAATATGGGGTGTTATGAAGTTGCTAAGATTTTGGTTGCAGCAGGAGCTGATGTGAATACGCAGGGACTGGATGATGACACTCCTCTTCATGACGCAGCCAGCAGTGGTCACAGAGATGTAAGTGTTTCCAGATTCCAAAGGTTTAGTGTGGGACTTTTTTGGGGGGGTTCTTTTGTTGCAGTTTTTTTATTTCATTACCTTCAGTAACGATACATTTTAGTAGGTTTTCTTTTTTTTAAATGTATTAACTGTTTACAGGAATAGTAGCCAAAATATCTTCCGCTGTTTCTCTTCACTATCGAGTCACCTTAGTACAGTATGCCAAGGCAAGAGCAAGAAATTACAATTGTCACAGTTAATACTTTAAAGCAGTGGTTCTCAACCTGTGTAACCTCAGGACCCACATTTGTCTTTGGTCATTAAGTCGCGACCCAAGTTGCACTGCAATGGAATGCACAGAATTAGGGTACCGCGCATTCCAGTGCAGGCGTACAAGCTGTGGGTGGGAGGTGCGTTTGTGGTACCATTCAAATGAATGGCACCCAACATACCTCCCACACCAGAATGCACGGTAGGTGCAATTGCATGGTACAGTGCATTAAACGCACGGTACTATGCGATTATCGCACTGTACTAGTGTGAACGGGCCCTCAAAAATACACTGACACACACACACTCTCCAAAAAATATAAAAACAATATTTAAGGTCCACCCAGTCTCCCTACGTTACGAGAACTGGAGTGGATCCTCAGCCTGGGGTCCAGTGTGGGATGCTGAACTCTGACGGAGCTCCATCTATATGTGCATTTCTTGTACAGCTCCCTTGCGCTTCTGTCCCCTGAGATATCCAGAATTTGATGGCGTTCTTGCCAATGTGGGAAAGTAGCCTGGTGAGGAAAAATGTATTTTGGTCAATGGGATAAGTGACTGTGTCCTTGGGATATGCCTATTCTAGTAACAGCTACTGATATTATCTCTCAGATTATGTAGCAGGTTGTAGGTGTGGCTGAGAAGTAGCACAGTATTTCAGCCATGGAGAAGAAAAACCTTACAGCTGTGTTTTGTTCCTCGCTTGTATACGTTGAGCATCGCCATGTGCCATCCAAACTATGTGGGTGTGCAGCGCTCTACATATGCATTTTTTTTTTGTTTAAATAAAAGAGCATGGTCTGTTTCCTATGGGTAGCACTGCAGGGTTCGTGCATCCATTATGCTTTACACCCCATGGGAACATGCTCCATCTCCTTTTTCTGTTGTCCTCACAGCTGCACCCTCCTCCCTGCTTTCCTTCCGCAGAAGAGCGCCTCATGTTTACTGTCAGCAGAACTTGAAGGCTCCTATACATACATATATTCAGAGAATACACACATGTAGACATAGAGCCGAAGCACACAAACTCTTATTGTTTTGGTAAGTGTTATTAGACAAGCATGGTGGAATTACTATTCCTGCCCCTAATTGGCACAGATTTGTTTTCTTCTACATAATGTATTATTGTGTGCATGTAGGGGATTTCCCTACTGCAAGGTGGAGATGGGGTGTCATGAAATATGATGGCTTGGTGCAAAGTGTGGGAGATGGGGGCAAGATGGCTTGTCAATGATGGCTGCACAAGTATATTTCATTATTTAGTACAAGCCTTTGGAGAATATGCTTTCAGTTTGGCAGGCAAACATTTGGAAGTTATTTTAATCACCTGATTGCTCTATGCCTACAAGGGGGCACATCAGATGTTTCCTGTCTTGGTATCTTGCATTAAAGTAGTATGCATATAATAAATGCCTACAAAGGGAACCCTCTGGCAAACCTGCAGTGTTAATCCTTCACATATACAGTATGAACAGTGGAAAGTCATGGAAACATTTAGTCCTTGTTAATATAAACAAATCCTGTTAATATAAAGACTGTTCAGGTTGCAGTCCTTTTACATGCAGGGGTTACAGAAAGATAGTCACATGTACATGGAGTTATGCCTGAGGGTGTTTTTTTGGAAACACTATATAACAATGTTGCTGGTGTACTCACAAAGTGATCTTTGATAAACTGTGTGATAACTGCCATATAACTGGAGCATGTCTACTGCCACATTAGATTACTTGGCATGTGCAAATATTCTCCATGTTTGGTCTATTCAGCACTACTGTCACTCCTTACGTTTCAAAATATTTGCTAAAAACACTATTTACACTTGAGTATTAAGGGCTCCATTCACATATAGCTTTTGCGTTTCCCGCACAATTTTCCATGCAAAAGACCGTGCAGGATGAAAACGCTAAACACTCTAATGCGCACGGATGCCGCTCATTTGTGGCTATTAAATATCCATGAACGTGCGGAATCCGCTGTATTATCGCTCTTTCAATATTTTGGGGGCCACACAGCTTGTCGGTCCCCGCAATAGTCCAAACAATGCACATTAAAGTGTTTTAACGGCTCTGTGCGTATTCACACAGTAGAATACGCACGGACAGCCGCTCCAGTGTGAATGGAGCCTAAGGCATTACCTAGTCTATCATAAAAAATGATACAATTAAGTGACACACTATTATAAATCTGCTGAAAAAACACTTTTTTAGTGTTTGTCTAATGTATTCTATGAACTGAACAAAAACTTGATTGCTTCTCTTCTGGTTCTATAGGCAGGGTTCTAATATTTACATTTTATCATTGCAGATTGTAAAATTACTTCTCAGACATGGTGGCAATGCATTCCAGGCCAACAAACATGGCGCTCGTCCCATTGATGTGGCTGACTCAGAGGAACTAGAGCAGCTACTAAAGCAAGAAGTTCCCCTTTCTGATGATGAGGAGAGTTATACAGGTATGCTGGGATTGTTTTGTTTGTGTATTTTCTTGCGTTTTCCTGTTCTATTTTTAAAGAAAATAAATTTCAGTGTAGGGGCCATTGTGCCTAGATTAAGAAAATTAATGGAGGTTTTGCATTAGATAATTATTTGTATTTATTTTCTTTCTGCCTAACCAAAGGAGCAGTTAACTTAAAATTTTTAGCAGCAGACCAGAGTGGGCCTTTTAAGCTTTGTACATTTTCAACAGATATAACTTCTAGGTATTATTTCCCCAAAAGTATTGTTGCATTTTAACATTTTCATTGGCTGAATACTTTCCTCTCACAGATTTTAAACATCTATTGCATTGTATGCAAACAGATCTCTTTTTAGATTTTAATTTAATATAAGTCAAGGAATCTGGGCATTAAAGTACCGACTACTTTCTAAGCTGACTTGTCATTTGTTTTCAGGTTAAAACTAAAACATTTTTTCCCTGTTATTTCTACATGTATGTTGTTTATTGCTATAGTACCTTGTACAAGAAATGGATCTGAAATGGACATTTGCCTTGGTATGTGACTCTAAAGCAGCTTTCTGCGACTCATAACACAAGATAGGCTGCAATGTGTTCCTCTAGCTTTCCCTTCTCCCCCCTCATGATTGTATTAAATTGTATTGTTGCCAGTTGCAAGGCTAGCATGATATGAGCCTAGAGCAGTTGGTTCTCAACCTTTTTTAGCCCCTTGGTAACATTTGCCAAGTTGTGTTGACCCCCAACGGTAACATTTAGGGATGACGCGGCTGCTGCAGCGACATCTGGCGGCTTGGCGGGAGAACTGGCACTGCTGCGCTAGGAGAGGGCTGAGGAGGACTCTCACCTAGCACAGCAGAAATCACACAGCGACCCACAGGTTGAGAACCACTGCTGTAGATGAACAGTCATTGAGTAAATCCAACCTGGAAGAGGTGATTTACTAAAATGTTCTTCACTTTGCCCACTGTGTTTAATTTGCTTCCAGCAGCCAGTCATGTGCTGGCATTCTTTTTTTAATTTCCTTGTTCATGATTTAAGTTGAATGCAGGTTAATTGGACTCCTTTAGAAAAGTCGTCGTGCTATAATCAAAGTAATATCTGACGCTACTACTTTCAGCAACATTTTCCAACATAGCTGACATCCTATCTAGTTACCTTATACAAAAAAAAAGAGGTTGTCACCTTTTAAGCCTCCTTCAGCCTCACATGACAGCAACTATATGAAAATGTCAGCAATATCATTTTCTGTACACGAACTGCATCATTCACAGACAGGCTTGAGAATGTTATTATTAGCTGTTGTTTTATGTGAAGCCAGGTTTTGATTTAGGTTTACTAGTCATTTAAGTGGAATCAATGTCATCAGTTAGTCAGGTAAAACAATGTAAGGAAGTGGCGATGTGTATTTGCCCCTTTTATTGCTGTAGATGCTGAGGTCTCAGGCAGCTGATCAAAGCCCGCCGTACGCCATCAGAATAAAAAAAACAGCATAGGAATGCGTAACTAGATTACTATTGGCTATTTCACTTTGCAATAGCAACCTAGCTATTGCACGCACCCTCTGCTGCCAATCACTGGAAGAGACCTGATGGAGAACTTCAGGTCCCACTCTGCTCCCCCTATGATGTTTTGTTTTGGTTTTTCTTTTGACTGGCGGCCCCCGATATCAGAAAACAAAAAAACGATCGCAGGGAAAGGTTTACGCTGCTCGATCGAGCAGAGTAAACCTTTCCAGGAGAAAGTGTTTCTCTCCTGGGCGGCCGGGAGCCGCTATCTAAAGGCAGGAGACTCCCGGGCGATCCCCGGCAAATCGTCATTCCACCCCCGACGGGGTCGCGACCCACAGGTTGAGAATCGCTGGCCTAGAGCTTGATGGGTGTGAAGAAAAAAAAAATCACTAATACATGAATGTAGATGACATTCTGCCAGTAATGGAAACTTTTGGCATTCTCTAGAGACTGTTCTTACATTTTTTTTCCACAATACTTTTAATTGATTGTTACACTTCTTAGTAGGGCTGGTAATGATTAAAAAACATTTTGATTAATCGAACAGGAAATTTTTAATCGATTTAATTTCGATTAATTATAACGCACATACAGATCCAACTGCATTGGCCTATACACATACAGCACAGCAATATAGCACTCTTTAACAAAAAAAGTAGTATGAGATTAGCAAAAGGTAAAAAATGCTAATGAAGTGTGTATTGGTTTATGGATAGGTTATAATTATAAATATACATTAGACAGTCATATTTGCTTTGCCTTCTTCGCCCCTCTTATATCACTAGTAAGAGTTGTCTAAAAACAAGACTCACTAATTTTTAATGAGTGCATCTGGTTTCCAGGGCCCGTGTCATCTTAGCCCATGCTGTAGATGGAGCTTAGAGCTGCAATTTTAGTTCATGCCTAAATTATATATTTTTTTAAAATTTATTTTACACAAAATATTTAGTAATTGCTCATATGTGCCCCAATAATTAGTGGAAATGTGATTTTAATATGTACACTCTAATTAAATTTTGTTTTATTTCACAGACTCTGAGGAGCCCCAGTTTACTAACCTTTCCAGTGTAGATGAAAACTTAGATTCAGAGGGCGATAAGGAATCCCTGATAAATGAGACCAAGCATGCTACTACCAAAGGGACACCTTGCACTTCAGGACTTGATGAGTATGAATTTAAAGATGATGAAGAGGATGATGATGATGAAGATGATGACGACGACAACGACGATGATGATGAAGATGATAATGATGATGACGGCGATGGAGAAATTGGCAAGATGATACAGGACAAACATGTGATCAGGAATGAGATTAAGAAGGAGAGCACTGAAGGGACCGAGAGCTTCTTTGTAAAGAAAGATAAAATAGATTTTCCAAAACTGTATAAAAATAGAAAACCAAAACCATCCCGCTTATTATTCACAAGCTCTGACAGCTCTGATGATGATTTGCTTCCTGAAAAAGTTAGCCTTGCTTCTGAAAGCTTAAATTCTGATAACCGACACAGAAAAGACTACAGTGTTCTACACGAGCAAAAGGAGAAGGGCAAAGTCAAGAAAAAAGTGAAGAACCAAAGCAAAAACAAAGAGAACAAGGAATTAAAACAGGAAAAGGATAAGAAAGAAAATGTTAAAGTGGTCAACATAGTGATGAACTCTACTTTAGATTCTATAGAAAAATCTAGAGATGAAGATATGTTTAGGAAATCTCTGTGTACAAAAGATGAAGGGTCTTTACACTTGTTTCAGATTACTCCTGGCAAATCTCCCAAGCACACGTTCACTTTTGTTGATAAGCAGTCAACACCACTAAAACAAGATAACACTAAAATGTGCATTTCGCCACCTGGTGGATCCGAATCATCATTACAAACAGAGCTCTTCCACTACGATCAGAGCCCTGATTCCGAATATGCACTGGAAAGCTCAAGTACCACAATTTCCAAATACAAGGAAAAAAGTAAACATGCAAAAGACTTTTTTACAGAATATGGTGACCGGACTGCAAGTAAAAGCAAAGAAGATGACAAAAGCCCTTCCTTTGAAACGGCTGAGTTTGTTGCAAAGAAAGACAAGGAAGGCAAAGTAATAAAAAAGCACAAAGTAAAGCATAAAGATCGGGAAAAAGAGCAGAATAAAAAAGAACTAGATGTGGAAAAGGATAAAAGCAAACACAGAGATAATAAAAATACACAAAGAAACATCGAGTTTGACAGGGAATTCTGGAAGGAGAACTTTTTTAAAAGTGATGAAAATGATGAAGAGTTTTTAAACATGGATTCAAAAAACATGCCTCCAGAGAAAAAAGGCAAGTTGGAAAAAACACAAGCAAAAGAAGATAAAATAAAAGAGAACCATGACCACAAAGAAAACACTAAAGACCTTGAGGAGACGATAAAAAAAGAAAGGGATACCGTTCTTTTCCCAGAGAAGGAAGGTGATATTTTGTCAGGGAATGCACTTGTTAAGGATGAGTCAACAAACTTTGACAAGGAAACCGATACTGAAATTCTTGTTAAGGAAAGCAGGGAAAAGTCTGATAAGAGACTAGCACTTAAGGAAAAAGACTTTGATAAGATGGATAAAAAATGCACAGAGAAAGAGAAGAAATCAAAAGATCACAAAGCGGAAAAAGAGAAGATTGACATACATGACCACATAGAAAAATGCAAAACACATTTACAGACTGTACAGAAAGAAAACGATAAAATTCGAAATGTTTCAACCAGCAAAGAAAAGTCCAAAGACAAGCCTGAGAAGAAACTTGACAGGACTGAAAAGGATAAGCATATCAGTGAGCAGAAAATGTCTTCTGATAAGAAAATCAAACAAATAGAAAAAGATCTGGAATCAAGCAAATCTGATAAAGGAAAGCGCAAAGAGCGGGATTATCGAAAAAGGGAAAAATCTAAAGATGCTGAGTGTTTTACAGGAACAAGCATAAAGCACAGTCAGGAGGAACGGAAACCAAGTAGCACAGAAAACAAGGTATTGCATGAACGACTAGTTAGGGAAAAGTCCAAAGAGGAGCAGCAAAAAATGGTTGAATATAAAGAAAAAGACCGTAAAGACAAGGAAAAGGATATAGATAGATATAAAGAGCGAGACAAGCATAAAGACAAAACACAAACAAATATATTGAAAGTAAAACCTAAAGAAACTGAACCAGAAAAAGGTAAACCTAAATTACACCTACTCAAAGATGTCCGTCCAAAAGAGAAAAGATTAGTGAATGATGATCTCATGCAAACTAGTTTTGAGCGAATGCTGAGCTTGAAAGACCTTGAAATTGAACAGTGGCATAAAAAACATAAAGAAAAGATCAAGCAAAAAGAAAAGGAGAGGCTGAGACATCGAAACAGTACTGAATTGAGTAAACTAAAGGAAAAAGAAAAGCAGAGACATTCGGTCACACCATCTAAAAACAAAGAGTTGATGAGATCGAAAAGTTCCGAGATGTCAGACTCTGGTCCTAAAGATAAAATGTTAAAGGATGCCACGAGCTGTAGGTCACAGTCAGTTGATGGGAAAAATTTGGCACATCCTGGAAAGACACTTTTGATATTGGAAAACAATAGCCTAGCTAGGTCTCCACGGTCAGAGAGCGAAAAAACTGGTCTAAGTTCTCGATCAATATCAATGATTTCCGTTGCCAGTTCTGAAGACTCTTGTCATGCTACTGTGACCACACCAAGGCCTACTATTGAATATGATTCAGACTTTGCACTTGAAGGTTCAGATTCTCAAATGTCTTTCTCTCAGTCCCCTTTCTTATCCACTGCTAAATCACCAGCTGTTCATGACCGGGAGTTGGACACCCTTGCTGAGCTACCTGATCGTGTTAAGCAACCTGTGTCAAACAGACTTCTCCCAGGTTATCTCAGGTCAGTGTCTGTAGAGGATACTAAATTGGCAATCGGTGAATGCCGGCCAGTTGTAGAAGTTAGAAGATGCAGCATGCCAGCTGCTTTCGTAGAACAAATTAGGCCCTCGCCAACAATTTTAGAAAGCACTTTACAAGAAACCACATCAGCTGCTCCATCAGTGCCTAGCAGCTGCATGTCTCCAAAATTGGAAGAGAAAGATTTCCATGGTAGCTTTTCTAATTCACATCCAAGTAGTAAAAAATCCTTATCTTTTAGTAAGCATACTGGAGATTCAAATACATCAGTCCCAGAAACTCAACCCATTCCAGAGGTAACACCTGTTATAAATGGCACTGAACCAGCTAGTTGTCATATAGGGATGTCTTCACCTTTGGAATCTGAACTTGCAAAATCAGTTTGTTCAGAACAAGAGTCTGTTCCGTTTGCTGATGCTGACAGCAAAGCATCTCAGGATTTGCTCTCATGTAGACAAGAAAACACCAAAACAAGCCCACATGAACCATGTGTACTTCCCTCTCCTATATCATGTCCTATTGTTACAACTGAACCATCTCCAGATCTGCATAGTTCCCCAAAAACTGCACTGCTTGGTAGTTTGACACCCAACACTGAAATAGAAGAGCAAACTTGCACAAGTGCCAACTCAAGTAGTGTCATAGGAAATGAGGTAAAAGAAGATGAACCAAAGCCTCCTGAAACTGAAAAGACTGTGGTGTCCACTGCAACACCTCAAGAAAATGTTCACCCCGTTGACGAGTTAAAAATTGTCCTTTCAGACTATGTTGTGGAAAGAATGCAAAACACATCAGATGTGCAGGCACCTAACGTATCAAAGAAAAGCACACTAAGCTCAAGTCCAACAAAGGACAATATTCTGGTAGATAAACAAGAGGAGGACCAGTCTACATCTACAGACTGCAAACCTGTGCTAGAAAATCTTGCAGCACAATCGAGTGATGGAAAAGATGAGAGTGACTTGGAAAAGACAAATGAAATAGTAGAAACAATTAAAGAAAACACACAACATCAAGTCAGCCTTTCTGGTAACACAAAGGACACATTTTTGCGAAAATATGACTTCTGTTCATCTGAGAATCAAACTCCTTCAGCGCAAGAAGAGTTGCAGAAATTTAGCCAGACCATCAAGATGGAAGTAGAGGAAAATAGTGAAGTAAAAACTGAGCAGCAGGAAATTCCTCAGAGAATTACAAGAAATCGTGCTAACATGTTGGCCAACCAGAATAAACAGGTGCAGGCAACCTTCCCCCACACTTCAGAAAAGGACCCTGTTGAAAACTCCACATCACTGAGAGGGAGGATACGACTAACTGAAGAGGATGATGTACAAGTTCATCATCCACGTAAAAGAAAGATGCCACGTGTGCCTCAACCTGGTCTAGTCAATCCTTCCATACAGCAAGCAAAAGAAAAAACCCAGCAGTCTTTGGCTGCAGTTGTGGATTCTTTGAAACTAGAGGACATTCAGCCATATCAGTCTGAGAGGGCAAATCCTTATTTTGAATATCTTCACATAAGAAGAAAAGTAGAAGAGAGGCGAAAGATGCTGTGTAGTGTCATCCCTCAAGCACCACAGTACTATGATGAGTATGTGACCTTCAATGGCTCTTATCTTCTAGATGGGAATCCCTTCAGCAAGCTCTGCATACCCACAGTAAGTCAGCTACTCAATCTGCAACAAATCCATATGAATGTTATTTTGAGCTTAGTCATTAAAGCAGAACTCCATATGGCGGAAATTTATATTTCTATACTTCTCTGCTTGCTGCACAACTTTTATCTGAGGTTTTCTATCCTAGAACTGGAGAAAGAGGTCACAACAACATCCTTGGTCGTCTTCATCCTGCTTTGCACTTGCTGGTGGGGAAGAGGCAAAAGGAGTCACATGACTGCAGTAACAGCCACTCAGCAGTGTTTGACATTTTGCATATCTAAGATAATAGACAGTTGGAGGAATTCGTAAAAACTGGAGCAGACAGAATCTGGAGCAGTTGCCCAAAGTAACCAGCTTCTCTTTTCAGTTGGAGGATGAAACAGAGAAGCTGATCGGTTGCCATGGGCAGATTTTGTCTGCTCCAGTTTTTATGAATTACCCCACTGTGTATTAGCTTAGATGTGCAAAATGTCAATCTTTCGGTATCCAGTACTGAAATTGTTTTCCTGGTCGCCGAAACCTTGGGCCCAGATTATCTAACGAAGGAACACCGGCTTCACTTCCCTGGCGACACCGCAAGGCAGCTTGGCTACCTGACCAATCGTGAAGATGGGCAGTGGGTCATGATGTGCCACCTGGCTTCCTGATTGGCTAGGAAGCCAGTTCCACTTATTGCTGGGCAGCCTGGCTTCCTGATTGGTAGGGAAACCAGGCAGCCTAGCAATGTGTGAAGCTGGCTTCCTAGCCAATCAGGGAGGTGGGTCATAACCTGCTGCCCGGCTTCCTGATTGGCCGGGAAGCTGGCTCCATGCTCCCTCGCAGCACTGCCAGTGAGAGGGAGATCTCCCTCTGACCTGGAAGTTCCGGTATCTGGGGTAAGTATCTGAGCATTTGGGCGAGTACAAGATACTTGGTATCGGCACCGATATTTGGTATCGGTATTGGTGCATCCCTAATTATATATGTGTTTGTGGCCCAGATTACACTGCATAGCGTAAAACACTAGTATAGGTGGATATTGCAGCACACATTATCAGTATTCACAGAGATGCATTCACACATGGGGAGCAGCACAACAACTGTTAGTTGCAAACTGTGCACAGGGGGAAGGGGGGTCCATGCAAATAACCATTTCTCATCCAGGTGAAACAAAGTGCTATATTACATGTCTGTAGTATGGGCGCCAGTGCACATATATACTAGTTTGAAAACCAGACCATACCAGCCGCTGCAGAAGATTTTCTGAGTCCAATGATTCAGTGTGCTCACGGAGGTGCACATGGAAATGGGAACAAGCCCATATGTAAACGCGACCTGGGCTGCTGTGAAGCCACCCATGCACATTTACAGAATAAATGTGTGAAAACCTGCTGGCTGTGGCAGGGAAACAGCAGATTGAGCACTGTTTGTGCTTGTTCTGCTTAGGCAGGGGGAATGGGAGGCATTAGAGGTCCTATAGACAGCCTGTGTATACGGTTGACCTGCCAGGTGTCGTTTAAATTCGCCAGAGTGTACAACAGAATTTATTTTATTTTCCCCAGTCATCTTCCAGGACAGCCATCGAGATATAGGCTCCGCCTGCCTGCAACAGGAAACACATCAACCACATTAAATAAATAGACTCCTCCTTCCATCCCAAGTCAGTTTTTTTTGTGTTTCCGCCGGCTACACAGGGACATCGTAATGTTTGTTATTTTTTAGGGCTCATGTTTGTTTGCCTTTGGGCTGAGCCTTACCCTGCTAGGCATTGGGACCTACTCCAGGCTTACCTGCTGCAGTGCCTACAGGGATTCCCTTTCGGAGTTAGTAATATAGTACTGCATTGTTTTCAGCAGTCTCCAAGAAAAAACACTCTGAGCTTGCGTACATGGGTATTGCTTTTCCTGCTGCATTTCTTTGGGCACAGCTGGTCCTATTGAGCAGGTCAAATTATGTGTTTAGTATTCAAAAACAGCGCTGCTGAACGAAAAGTCTGTGTTGTACATGAAGGCTGCATGTTTTTATGTCTTTTAGACAGGTTTTACATCCTTATTTAGCTATAACATTGTTACTTTGCAGATTACACCACCTCCATCCCTCTCTGAACCTCTGAAAGAACTTTTTCGACAACAGGAAGTTGTACGGATGAAGCTGCGCTTACAGCACAGCATTGAAAGAGTAAGTGTTAACATAAATCTGAGTGCAAATGGTGATTATAAACATAATGAGCATTTAAATATATGCTGAGAAATGGTTTTACATTCATTTGTTGGGTGAAAAATCTAATAGTACATGTTCAATAATTAGAAAATTAACAAGTTTTAAGTGCGGTTTCCTGTGCACTGGGGTGGATTGGCAGCACATTCAAAAAAGATGTGCTGCCTTGAAGGAGAACTCTGGGCATAAATATTCCTAACCCTTGCAGTCGGGCTACTCCCACCCTGCAAGGGTTAAGTGCTTGTTTTAGGCTAAGGACAAAAATAAAAGGTATACTCACCTGAACCTCGCAGCCTGCTGGCTCCTAGTCCGGTCCCTTCTGCACTGCTATGGATCCAGTCTTTAGGGAAATTTAATGGTTTTAATTTTTTTTCCAAAGTTTTTATAGTTTAATTCTTTTTTTGTTGTTGTTGTTGTTTTTCCCCACAAAATGTTTATTAGTTTTACGAATAAACAGCAGACAAGTGTAAATGGAAATCGTTAGCTGTTGCAGCAGCCATAGCAGTAAGAAGTAAACATAATGAAGGTCACCTTATGCCAACAGAACATGGTGCAAAAAAACGCAGTATATATCATAAAGTAACAGTTGGCATCAGGAGGAGTAATCCGCAGAACCCCCTCGAGACCCTTAAAACTCATTCGACGGTTACTATGGTCTAGCGAATACCCTACTGTAATAATTTCAAGAAACATTCCTATAAACTTTCATAAAAGGAGAAAAAGACCCAGTCCACGGGTAGGGGAATCCCCCGAGATGGTTGTTTGTTTTTTGTAATATACAAAACATACCTAAAACACAATCTAGCTAGTCAGGACCAGAAACACGATTTTGTTTCATGCATTTGTAGCAGATTTTGTATATCAAATTCTAATAGGTTAGTCTACAGTACTTATCTCTATTTAGTAAGCTGTCACTTGCTTTTACATTCTAATATAAGAGTCTGGCATCACCAACAGTTTAATTTCTCCCAAGCGACATACTTTGAACATGGCGTCATGAGGGGGGTTAAATTAAAGAAAATTGACCCCTTAGGGTGAAAAACAATTGTACAACTCGGCTGCAGATTTTCATTGTAAGGGCTTATTTTTTATAATAGTGATAGTTTAAGTAGCAGTTGCCACAACGATCAGAAGCCTGAAACTATGTTTCAGCATAGAAACATTGTGCTAAAAGCTGGCACCGATTGCGATTTCCTACTCCTGATCTGTACAGCTGCTTAACAGTGGTAGAAAGTGCGGTTCACACCGCACTTTTATCACTGTCAGACATCCGATCGCTTTCAGTGTCTGTAAAAGCAGAATTCTTTCATTATTGGATGCCTCAATACTGAGGCATTCATTAAAGAAAGGTAACCGCTGATCTCCGCGCTTATAGGCATTCCAAATCCCTGAATAGCTGCTCACGTACATTGTATGTGAGCAGTCATTTGGGCACTTAGTGATGGGAGATGTACACTGTACATCCCTGTCACTAAGGGATTAAACATCATAAATGAGTTGTGTGAATATGTGAAAAGCATCTGATTCTTTTAATTTTTTTGAGGTGTAGTGAAGTTCCATTTTAACCAGTTGACATCCGCGGTGTTAAACCCCCTTCCATTGGTAACTAAAATCTTTTGCACATTTTAGGAGAAGCTCATTGTGTCTAATGAACAAGAAGTTTTGCGTGTCCACTACAGAGCGGCCAGGACATTGGCTAATCAATCGCTGCCATTTAGTGCCTGCACAGTATTATTAGACGCTGAAGTGTACAATGTTCCACAGGAGTCGCAGGTATTTCACTTTGTTACATTTTGTTGGATGATGTTCGTTTTCCTTACACAGACATTCTGATTTCTAAACAGTATGTTGTTCCTAGCAACCTATCAGGTTCTACAGTGTAGGTTATTAATTATTAATTTATTTTTTGTTTTCATTCAAACTGAAAAATAGAAACACTAGGGGGGTGTGGGGGGGTAATCTGGAGCAGATTTGCACTGCAATGAATCAGCTTCTCTCTCTTTGTTACCTGAGCAAACTGAAGAGAGATGCTGATTGGTCTGCTCCAGTTTTGATCAATTCCCCTCTATGTAGTTATTCATTTGTAATGCTAGAAGCGGAAGGATTCATAGCATGCTTGAACTAAACAGAAAAATACAAAATATTATAATGAAACATATGTACTACCGGTTATAATTATTGTTATAATTATTGCTATAATACATTTAAAGATGTTTAGAAATCAGACTACAGTTAAAGAAATAAAACACAATCAGTGAGGAACTTCTTTTTTTCTTCCAAGTTTTAAATAGCCATAGAATTAATTGTCATGAATAACAATGTTGTGTTGGGCCCACAAATTACTCTCCATCAATCTTTCTCCAAAATAGATAACCACAGGACAATTTGGCGTACGCGATGTGGATGAAAAAAGAAAAGTAAAGGTAACTCAGAAGAAAATAAACCTAGATGTGCTGTAAATAACCTGTCCTGTCCCTGTACCGGGCAATAACCTTGTTCCATTACTTACTGAACTAAAGGATTTTTGATGAACTCCTCTATGTTCTTTTTTGATCAGTTCTTAATTAAAGAACCTCAACAGAGTGTACAAAGATACATGCATTATATACATTGTTCCATATACAAGGTCTGCGTTGGGAAAATACAGGAGACACAAATATAACATGACAGACTGCTGACATGTGGTTTATCCTTCATACAAACTGCATCTGTCTTGGCCCTCTGTGTTCTTCTGATGCTTTGAGTGGACAGCTCTAGGAGATATTTCTGAAACCTTGTGCACAGGAAATCTGGATGTTTTTACCACTGGTCAGTGAGATCTTTTTCTTTGTATTATGTCAGCATGCTAGTAACATATTCCAAAACCCGCCCAGAGTTGGACATACACGGTTAGAATTTCAAAATAACAAAATCTATTTCGGAATATTTGTTTATCTTTCTATTCGCTGATATGGGTCAAATTGATGATCGATTTGGACCGCAATGACAAAAAATGTTGGCGCATGTTGGACATTTCTTTTCTATGAAATGAAATTCTAATAGTGAATGTGGTTTTTTATTAGAAAACTCTGTTCATTCCAAAATCGAATGTTAAAAGGAAATGAAAATCAAATGAACGACAATTGCCAAAGGTATTATTAAACATTCTGATGCCGCAGATGGAAAGGGGCAGGACACCTCTCCCCATGTGCAACGTCGGCCACACGAGCACCACGGGAGGACAAGACGCCGAGGCCTCTAGAACACACTGGAATGTAAGCCGGCCGACTCCCTACGTTCAGGGGCAGGAGGAGGTGTGGGGTTGTATTGAAGTCGGTGGCACTGCAGGCATGCCCCTCGCCCACAGTGTGATCGCACCCGGAACGCAGGCACATTAGTGCCTGCCTTCCGGTCCAGTGCGATCTGCAAAAATAGCGCTTGCAACATTTTTGCGGACTAATGTGCCTGGGTTCCGGGTGCAGGCGATCGCACTGTGGGCGCGGGGCCTGCCAGTGGTGCCATTGACTTCAGTGCACCGCCACGCTCCCCTCCTGCCCCTGAATGCAGGTGTTTTTTCGTTGGTAGATCTCATTGAGCTTGTCATTTGAAAAGTAGATCTCCAGATGAAAAATTGTGGGCGCCCCTGCCATAGAGACACTAAGGGGATGATTTGTAAATCAATAGTGTGGCCAGACAAAGTTTGTGCTTTACATATGTGTTCTCCAATTCACTTGCTTTAGGGCTCTTAAGGAAGTAAAGCCCCATATTTTTTAATGAAATGGGGGGTGGGGAGGATTTGACTTTATGTGATAAGACTCCCCTCCTGCCCCAGAGTGTTCTCTGTAGCATTATGCAGAGAACTCTCTGAAGAACACCACATGCTCTGCACTTTATGAATGCAAACTGCAGCCACATTGTCCAATAATTACTGATTATGGTGAGAATGGTATCCACCTTCTGTTATAAATAAGCCCATTGAAAACATACTGTAAATCCATTTGTGTACATGTGTACACCTTGTCACTTAGCGGCCATGTTTAAATAAAACACTCATGACTGGGCTTATGCATTAATCTCAACTGATCCTAAAGGAAATGTATAGATTTTGTTGTGTATTTTGTCAGGACTAAATAAAATGATGAAAAATGCGTTTCTTCTTTTTTGTCAGGTAAGTATTTTCATCATGTCAGCAGTATGCCATTCCATTGCTGATAACCTTATGCAAATGCGAGTTGTATGGTTGTGTAATGCTCTCGCTTCAATATGTAATGCCTTCACAATCTATAACCTGGAACAAATATGAAGATACTTTTTTTTTTTTTTCCTGTTAAGAGTGAAGATGGCAAGGCATCTGTGAGGGATAGATTCAATGCAAGGCAGTTTATGTCTTGGCTGCATGATGTCGATGACAAATTTGATAAATTGAAGGTATGTTTGGGTGCCTTTTTTCAGTATTCGTTTTATCTGCTTAAATAATAGTTTAAAGAGACACTAAACTCAGGAGTTATATCATAGAACTGCATTCAAGTACCTTAACTATTAATAAAAATGTATCCTATTTGTGTATCAGCTGTAGATTCTCAAATCATCTCTGAATTGGTGCTGACACTGTCCTTCCTTCTGGAGGGTGGCTACTTTTGTTCCCCATGGTCCCTGTGTGTGTTGTAAAGTAGACACCACTCCAAGCTTGCTCCCTTGAAGGACTACAATCTAATTTTTACTTTACTAATTTTTATGTAGATTGTAGTCCATCACAAGAGTGAGCTTGCAGCGATATTCAATATATGTATATATTTTGACCGCCTTAATGTAAGATTGTTCAAGGGTGGGTGAGGGTTAACAAGTCATTAGGCTCAATTCCTAAAGCTGTAACACAAGCATAAGAATTTACAATCCAGCTGTGTGACTGTCATTTTCAAATCTCATTGGACTCATCATTTGTGATATTACCTTTTTTTAGCAAAATACAACAGAGCCGGGTTTTTTTTACTGTACATTGTTTCACAGCTTAGTAGACATGCATGCCTCAGATAACTCTGTCCTTTGTCAGCAGCTGTGAATACCTTGTACATTTGTGCCTGTATGTTCGGCCTCGTTCACCTCTCCCTCTGAAAAGCAATCTACAGTGGATTGCTTTTCAAAGGATGGCAGAACAACGAACCGAGGCGATATTGCCACCTCCTGAATTACAGGGTTTGTATTGTATTCCCCGTGGGATTTCCTGTTGGAGTACCACATGACTGATTTACAAATAATATATGTCCCTTATTTGGATAATTGGATCCCTAACACTGTATTATTACCTACAGAATTATGCAAGAGAAGCAAGTAACATGAAAAGTTAGACCGTCAGGTTTCCAAATTGTTGCCACATGATTGTAGTATACTTTTGTAGATTTGTTTTGCACAGTGAGTATCACTACTTGTCTTGTACATTAAAAGAAGGTTCATTGTGTCACTTCTGTTCTTCTCCTGTAGACCTGTTTACTGATGAGGCAGCAGCATGAAGCAGCAGCACTGAATGCAGTTCAGAGATTAGAATGGCAGCTCAAACTACAAGAACTTGATCCAGCTACATACAAATCTGTCAGTATCTATGAGATCCAAGAATTCTACGTCCCACTTGTGGAGGTCAATGATGACTTTGAACTGACACCTATATGATGCTGTGGAACTCTGCACGTGCCACTTTAGGCTGTGTTTTTATAGGCTCCCCTTCTGTTGTTCTCACATTTGTGGAAGTGCACTGCTTCTAGGAGGAAAGAAATACAAAATGCACATAGCCTTCAGGTCTTTCAGGATCGTACAGTCTGGGATGTGCATAAAGGATTTGTGAAATCTATATTTACCTACAGAAAAGATTATTCGACTTTTACCAATATCATTTCACTTTTTGTGGGATCAGAGTTCCACTTTGAACTGGCAGCTCAGGAAGCTGCTTATAGTTAAACAGCTCTAGATCACATAATAGAGATTCGTCTATCATCTCTGTATGATAGTTTTGGTACTGGACTTTTGCACATCAATGCATTATAGTCCCACTGCAGAGCTAATCTGCTGAGTGCCATAGGGATAGCTACCTAAAAGTGCAATGCAGGAACACGGGTCACCCTTCCACCAAGTTTAAAGGGTTTGTGTTCCAATACATAACAAGGAGATGAAGTGTAATGCATCTTAAAAAAGAAAAGCTCTGAATGGATCAGATCTAAGGAAAATGTGTGAAATTCAAACAGATATAATATTGTCTTATTTTAAATAACTTATTTTCTATATATATTTGTATATAGTATTGTAATTAATGATCAAATCCTGTATAAAATAGATATTTTATGTGTAAACCTATGTCTGACGTTTTAATGGACCAAAGTTGTCTTTTTCTTCTTCTTTGTACGTGTTGTATTTGTCCAGTGTTCAGTAAGGCATGATCATGGCCTTGTACAGGTTTATGGATAAAAGGTATTGCATGCGTCACACTTCAACACGTCTACTGCACCAGACTCATTGCTATTTAACACTTAAACAGAATACAAGTTAGCCTGCTGAAGATAAAAATCTTTATCTTTCTCAGAATATTTTTTTGTTTTAAATCTTAAAAACCAACAAAAAAATAAATTCTTGTTAGACATCGGACTCAAATGAGCCTATTTTTAAAAGAAAAGAAAAACAGACTTTGAACGAAAAATTGTAAATGTTCTATTTTAATATTTACCTAAAATGTGTACATATCTATGTAAATATATTGTTTAATAAATTTTATTGGTCATGTTCAGAACGCATATGAACTAATTTGTAAGTAAATTTATTTGACAACTGAATAATTATTGGGTTTTTTTTATTTTAATTATTATTTTGAAATATTTAAGGGAAAGTTTCACTGCGATAAACGCTTCATTTAACCAGTTCAGAAAGTACTCCCCTGGTTATGGTAAGAAAGCCCAACCGCAGCCAAAACTTATGTTTGTATGAGGACAGGGTGGAGAAGGGATCGAGTCTTTGTTGAGCTTTTATTTGGGATGTGTGTGAGATTTCCCCTCACTTCTGTGGGGACACTGACTTTAAAATAAATAAATACGGTTAGTCTATTATTTATTTATTACAGATATTTATATCGCACTGAAAATTTACGCAGCACTTTACATCCTGCATATTCACATCATATTAGGTTATTATTTCTCTCTGCCCCCTTCATTTCTTGTCCTGCTGTCATGGGAACAGGAAGTGAGGTGAAATCTCTCCAAGTGGGGTCACATACAGCACTAAAAAGATGAGAAAATGATTTGGTTTATCCAAAACTAAAACAAAGGTTTTGACAGGCATTGGGCTTTAAGAGTAGTTTTCGTCACAAGTGATATTTAAGTTTTGCATGGATGCAAATGAGTCGGCGTTTATGGTCTTACAAGTACAAAACCAACGCTAGGCTGGAAAGGTTAATGCTGGTTCTGATAGAAAGGTGCATCACAGTTTGTTGCGTATGGTGCCCATGCTGACCTGTGTCTATGATGGTTGCACGTGAGCATCAGACCTGGACCAAGGAGCAATAGAAGAAGGTGGCCTGTTTGAGGAATCACGTTTTCTTTTACATCATGTAGATGGCCAGGTGCATGTGTGTTGCTTAGCTGGGCAAGCCAGAATGCACTATGGGAAGAAGGCAAGCTGGTGGAGGCAGTGTGATGCTTTGGGCAATGTTCTGAGAAACCTTGGGTCCTGCCATTCATGTGGCTGTTACTTTGACGCGTATCTAGACATTGTTGCTGACCAAGTACACCCCTTCATCGAAAATATTCTCTGATGGCAGTGGCCTCTTTCAGCAGAATAATGCGTCCTGCCACACTGCAAAAATGATTCAAGAATGGTTTGAGGAACACAACAATCCAATCAGGCTAGGGATGCACCGATACCGGTATTTTGGTACCGAGTACGAGTACCGATAAAAACATTTCCGGTACTCGCCAATACCAATTACCGAGTACCGTAAGTCCCATTCAGGAAGCCAGGTGGGGTGTAAAGACTCGCCACCCGGCTTCCCGATTAACAAGAAAGCCGTCCCATACGAATCCCCATAATAATAATCATCTGATCCAGCATGTCTCTGCAGCGCTCGGCTCTATGGCTTGTATGCTGCGGATCTCTGTCCCCTCTCACCTCGGCATATCCAGCCTGACGCGGCGCCCTGCTTTCTGATTGGCAGGGAGGCCGGCTCCATGCTCCCTCGTCATGAGATGACGAGGGAGCATGAAGCAGTCTTCCCGGCCAATCAGAATGCCGGGCGCTGTGTCATTACACGGCGCCCGGCTTCCTAATTGACCAGCTTCCTGACCAAACAGGAAGCACGCTGCCCGGCTTCCTGATTGGCCGGGAAGTCAGCTCCATGCTCTCTCATCACAAGTGACGAGAGAGCATGGAGCCGCTTCCCAGCCAATCAGGAAAATGGGCAGCGTGTAATGACGTGTTGCCCGGCTTCCTGATACATGAAGTATCGGGCTAGGCATTAGCACATTTGGGCGAGTACTCGTCCGATATCGATACTAGTATCGGTGCATCCCTAAATTAGGCATCTGTGAAAAACAAGTCTGATCCATATAGGCTCCACCTCGCAACTTACAGAACTTTTAAAGGATCTGCTACTGACGGCTTGGTGCCAGATACCACAGCATATCTTCAGAGGTAAGGTCTGTTTGTGGTGCCAAATGGGATAAGCATTCATTGTTTATTTTTGTTCATTCATGGGCTGCCTACCACCACTTAAAGTGCATAAACCTTTTTTTTAAATTGCATTGCACCACAACGCATAGTAATACGTTACAATGTGATGTGGTGCAATGCAATACACATGTGATAGCTAGGAGCGATGGGGTTCTATTCAGAAATAATGACACTGCATCAAACCTAACATTGCAACATGCTTTCTCGTGTGCTGCAGGTTATTGTGCAACATTGCACAATATCCCTCGTTGCAGAGATGCGAATGAGGGATTAGAGATTTTCCAGCAGGTTAGAAAATATCAGTCAGCAAACATGAGTGCTTCTAATGTTGGAGCTGGAGCTCCGGCAATGCTGTACTGAGCAGTCGGATTGTTGCAGGGTCAGGCGTTTTGTGGGCAGCTACAAGGTGCCTACAGACGGAACAGAACATTCACCCTATGCAGCCAGTTAGACTCGGATCAGGGAAGATTCAAATGTCTGTAGGCCTTCGCTGAAATGTCATGATTAATACTGGCTAAGAACTTGGGGGACACAAAGCCATGATAGCCAATCAGGTGCTCTCCCATAGGTACACTCATGACATTATTCAGTGTCTGGTTTATGCATGTACCACATTCAATCTTCTGATGGAGTGGTAGGCAACCTTAGCACTCCAGCTGTGATGAAAGCTGAAAGTGATGCCTTTGGCTGTAAGCCTTGCAGTGCCTCATGGGACTTGTAGTTCCACAACATCTGAAGTGTCCAGGTTGCACACAGCCTGCAGGTGCTTTATGATCACAAAGACTTATGAAGGGAGTTGGCTAAGCATACATTATCTGGTGACACTAGGTCAATAACATGTCAATAACAGGTGGGCACATCACCACGAATGTTCTGCCACTGTCTTCTCTAATCCATGAGCAGCTTAATATTAATCTTATATTTGAGACTTGAGCTTGCGCTGCATATCAAACTTAAAAAGATCTGAAGGACAATATGGGGTCTGTTTATACATTTTTGTTCACACAACTTTCACCCTGGATAATCCCATCAACGTGTGTGAATCTTGGGTAAAAACATTTCCAAATAGACCTTTATGTCATCTAAGCTGAAGTGGCTGTTCAGTTTTTATTCTAAGTATGTGAATAGCAGACAACTATAGTATCTCACAGGAAGCATGCCACCTAATATAGCACCTGGTTCAGTGATCTTCTCCTCTAGCATTTCAATCAGCCGTGTGTAATTGTTTGTGTGTAATTGAAAAGCTAAACTGTAATTATATGAGATTTTATGTAATTAGTCTTAAAAGATTAACTGCTCCTTCCCAGCATAGCGTGATTGGACAGCACACCAGTACTAAAATGAAGTTTTAAGTATCTCATGAAATAAATGTGCAGGAGCGGCAGGGGGCAGGAATACTTGAAACAAATAACCCTGTTTATGTTCACAAACTAGCTAGAAGTCAATGTGCATCCTCGCTCAGCCAATCACTGCTCATATACACTGTCAAGTAGTGACAGTTTGGCTTTATTGAAGGGGACCGAGCAAAATACCTACTAAAACTACCACATAATAATAATGACAACAACAGTGAAGTATAGAGGAAACTTGGAAAAGACAGCAGAAGAAATGCCAACCTACCTAATCACATGCAGGAAAACTAGACAGGGGCTTGGTTACTCTGGCAACATAATGTAAAAAGCTGTGTCCTGCATTGTGTCAAATATTTATTTTTAATTATGAAGTGGTGATATGCATTAGGCTGACCATACACCTATAGCTTATCTGCAGATTTTCTATGGTCAGATGGAAAAAGTGCAACAGATTCCTCCATCTATGCTAAACTGTGTGGATGGAGCCAGTGGTGTATTCTGGTTTGGGGCTGCCCATCTCTCCTGCTTTCCTTGTTGCAGGGAGAAAGCTGTGAGGCGGCAAGTCGACCTTCCCAATCGATCCTGCACAATCCTTGCGGCCAGCGTTCACTGAAAGGATCCGAGTGCCGGCGCAGACTCAGCTACACGGTCTCCATCCGACCGCGGACCTGACTTCTGAGCTGGCTGCGGGCCGCAATTGGCCCGCGGACCAGTACATTGAGACCCCGGCGTTTTTGCCGCTCCCTTGGAATCTGCCACCTGAGGCAAACGCCTTGTTTGCCTCGCGGCAGATACGCCCCTGGACGGAGGAATCTCCCACTGCGCCATGCTTCAGGATCTTGCTAGTCGGCCCTGCTGGCTCTCAAAATACCTTAACAATGCCTGCATCCAATCAGATTGTGACAGCCAGCGGGGCCGACTAGCAAGATACTGAAGCTTGGCCCAGTGGGAGATTCCTCCATCCACACAGTTTAGCGTAGATGGAGGAATCTGTTGCACTTTTTCCATCTGACCATAGAAAATCTGCAGATAATCTATAGGTGTATGGCCAGCTTAAATCTACACATAAAGCAGAAACCCCTTTAATGCAGTAAGCTAGATTTTGTTTTAAATATATTTATTTTATTTATTACAGGTATTTACATAGCGCCGACAATTTACACAGCACTTTACATAGTTGCACATTCACATCGGTCCCTGCCCTCAAGGAGCTTACAATCTAAGGTCCCCATCTCACATGCATACATAGAGGGCCAACTTACCTTCCAGCATGTCTTTGGAGTGTGGGAGGAAACCGGAGTACCTGGAGGAAACCCACGCAAGCACAGGGAGAACATGCACGCTCCTTGCAGATAGTGACCTGGCTGGGATTCCAACCAGGGACCCCCAGTGCTGCAAGGCAGAAGTGCTAACCCCTAAAGCGGAAAAAAGGGGGGGGATTAAAAAATTGCTGGGACAGAGGATTTTTTGGCAGAAAAGACATTCAAAGTCTCTTATGCACAAAAAAAAAAAACCCTTTTCCTGTCTCCCTTTTTGTGTACACTTTATGGCGCATGCATTGAGTAGTGTACACAGCCCATTCCTAAGATGACGTGAGTCGCCC